ACTTTGATTACTGAATGATTATACTCACCCCTCATCCTTCAATATTTTTAAGGCCTAGTTCATTGGATCAGGATTAAGGAAATGATAAGAGCTATAGGATTCTGAGTAAATCTATTTGTAGGCCTTTTAGTTTTATTTGTGTGTATTTTGATGATTAATTTACCAACTAGAACTCATACCATTATTTTAAGCTACTTGCTTTATAAATAAGAATATGGTGTGTATTTTGTGTCCTGAGATGGTGATATGCGGTTATAAAGCTTGTATAAGATCAAAATACTAGTGCAAGAAGAGTAAAGTATATTTTGGTTACCCCTAGTTAAATATGAATGAATTTACGCAAGTTACTTTCCCCTTGTGTTTTTGTGAATTGAGAGGTTGAGGGGTGAATTTTTTATATACATGTGCTGATTGGGTTATGATGTGTTGTATAAGTCTAAATTTGTTTATTGAGTATGGTCTAAGGATTAGTGTAAACTTTTAGCACATATGTTAGAATTTAGACACCCTAGGTGCGAGTTAATGTGAAAAAGGAGTAAGATATGTATTAGGTATCTAACTTTTTATAAAAAAATAATTTAATTATGAAACTTATGCCATTAGCTAGAATTAGAAAAAAGCTCTCTGTAGACATCTAAATCATCTTAATCAGACATTGGATGAAGAAATGAGATGTGTCAAAAGTTCACCTGGCTGCTGTCAAATGACAGCAAATTTGCTGTCAAATTCATGCAATGCACCACGACGCATGGCACAGAGGCAATATATCGCAATATAAGAGCAATTAGCAGTGACGCATGTGCTATTTTCTACATGAGTTCACTGTTTTGAAGATTATATTCAAATGTTTTAATTCTCTCTCCGATTCCTAAGCTTCTATGCATATTTTAAACTTTAATTTAGGAATATTGTAAGCGTATATGAGTATTTTAAATATTGAAAAACTTAAAATCCATTATCATTTGCTAAAATTTGTTTATCACATGGAGATTTTAGAGTTTAGAGAGGATTAGTAAGGGTAACCTTACTTGTCTAACCCAGAGTTTATAAAAAGAATTTTGGGAACAATCACAATAAATTTTCTTTTTTCTTTTTGTTTAAGTATCATGAATTATATAGCAAGTTGTATTAACTTGTAAATGATGCAGATTTAACAATGTAACATATGACAATTGACTTGTCCTTGAAAAACAAGTAAATTTGAAGAGGGATAATGAACAACAAAAGTTTCAATGAAACAATGATAATTCTATTAGGTATGGTTTGTGTTTCTATCAAGTACAACCAAAATGATAAACAAAATCTATAGGGCACCTCATATCAAACAATATACCATGGGAGAAGGTAAGAACAACATTTTATATATATATATATATATAAAACTACATCTTACCCTTTATAAAAAACAAATAAAGGGGATGGCTATAAGTATACTTCAAAATAAAATCACATTCTCATTTAATCTTCTAAAGAAATCTCTTGATTAACATTTTTTTTGTAACTCACTTGAATTATAAAATGCATGCAAGAGCTTTTTAATGTGAATTTATTTTTTCTCATCTTTAGACAAAACTTTATGCTTCGATGCGTCCAAAACACTATGCTTGAAATGAAAATTTGTAGCCATCATAAGTGGGTCATTTAATCATTAATACACAATACTTATAAAATTACAATTAGCTTTTTAGGTAATACAAGTTCAACACAACCTTTTTTTATGGCCCCTAAAAGAGTTAGTGAAAACTTAATTCCCCAATAAAAAAAGGGATATCATCTAGAATTTTTTGATTCATATATAGGTTTATAATTGAACAAAGTTTGAACTTTAAGCACATCAGAGAGTCAACCATGAATGTACAACATAATATAGGTTAGGACTATAACATTTAATGGCAGAATAATTAAAAGAATGGTCCATTAAAAAGGCAAGAGAAACATGGTTAATAATCAATCTTAAATGTTTGATTGCTCATTATTGTTATTAGAAATTTTTGTCTACCATTCCCGATGATTTTAAAATTAAGTGCTAGAATTTTATACTTTTATCAATTTTTCTACTAAATCATCACAAAACATGAACGAAGAGATAGTGGTCAGATAATAGTCTAGTTTATTATGAACCATAAGTCCACAACATGTGTTAGATCCAGATCATGAAGAACCTTCTTCACCCTACAATTATTTCCTTAACATGTGCAGAAGGTGATGTAAAGAATTGCACCATATGGTTAATAACTAAATCTACAATAATTTTCACAACTCTGGGCTTATCAACCATTCAACTTAAAAACAAATTAAGAGCATAATATGGAATAAAACAGACACAAAGTAGCTTTACAACTTCTATGGTAGTGAAGTAAATAAGCAATGATAATACTTGAAGTTTCCAATACTGCCAAAACTTAGGAAGCAGAAACCTAAAGAGCAATGATCTTAGCCAGCAATAACATCAAATGAACAAAAATATAGTCTTCTACTCATATACACAAGATTAAAAATTCAACAAAAGAACACATGAATGTTGGGAAATCATAGATATAAATTTCTTACAAACCAAGACTTGTATGTTTGAACTATTCATTCTTCAGTCTTAGAAAGATCCTTGTATCACAAGCATTAATCTTTATCCTTTGATTTTTTCACTAAACATATTAAGTAAACTAGAGCCATATCAAGAACACCAACTATTGATCCATTACCCACCCATAATTACAAGTTGATCAGACATCAGCAACTACCCCACATAACATATTACACTTAAAGGTAACTACATATTAACAAGGCAAACAAACCCATCATCTCTTTCAATTTTACTCGAGAGAAAATGCTAGATGAATGTACGCGTGCATGTAATTCAACTATCAACATGTAGGAACAAAATTAAGGAACAATTCGCTTAGCCATTAAATAGGACCAAATATATATATTTTAATATAGTGGTCTAGTATTGAAAGGAAAAACAAAGATTTTTTAGATCATTAACTAAGATAACCACAGAATGGAGCTTAAAAAAGATCAGGTTTCTAAAACTGACAACCTCTTATGGATGTTAGTTGCTCAATCTTAAAAATAGAGTACTTTCATAGCATCGCTTTTAGGTGTCATTACATAAACTAATAGGTTCAAAGAGTCATGTTAAAGGCACAAAATTAAGGAATGGGCCTAAATATAAAATATAAACAAGTTTTTTTAAAAAAAAATCCTTAAAGTGAAGCCAATGTATCAAATGCAATGAGGCTCATAGTTCTTAAAACTTTGTTGCGTAATAGATTCTTAGAATAGCAAAGAAAATTTAAAAGATTAGAAATATATACCAGTCTAGTAGCCAAAATGGTTCTTAGAGCTACTGAGTTTGCTAACTTGCAAGTGCATCGAAGCATCACAATAGGGAGACATGGTGCAATATTTCTCCAAACATCATCCCAAAAAGCCCTCCACAAATCAGCAATAAACAATGCTTGCTCACTTCATTTTTTGATACCCATATTAGCCTCTCTCAACTCAATCATCAAAAAAATTGTTTGATTAATTAAAAAATGATTTAAAGAGTAATGCTGAGCGAATCATAATGGTTATGGAGGTATAAAGGATGGAAAAATCTTACATGGTTGTCATTGATCTCCTTCTTAAGGAACTCACAAATACTTTAGAGAAGGGCATCTAAACCTTCATAATGTGATTCTCAATGATGAAAATGGCAGATTTGGACGTTTAGAATCTCAATCTACAATGGCGATGAACTTCTCTTACTAGGAATCAATGGTAGGAGGCTTCTTTGTGAGGCTGGCTGCTTTAACAACAACGAGTTGGTGGTTGTAAACGAAAGACATCATCAATGGAGAAGAAAGGAGATAGTGGAGTAAGAGAGTTGAAGCCACAAGGGCATTTTGGTCAATTGAAAGATTGTTTTATGAATAAAATATTATATTTGGTCCTTAAATTTGGCTTAGTCTCTCAAAACAATTTGTATTTCAACCAGATCTTTATTATCAACTTTCTCTTTATATTTTTGGTCAAAAAAGTAAATTCACTTATTTTTCTTAAAAATTTCACACATTAAAAGCATCTACATGGCAACAACTAGCAGTGAAAATAAGTTAGATCAAGTTAGATGTTGACTAAATAAACTTGAGCTTGTGCATATTAAGTCAAAGGCCTGAGCCTATATAAGGTCTTTCCCACAACTTAAACTTGAGCATGTATAAAACTTGACCTAACTTGAAAGCTTATTTAAAAGTTTACTTAAAAGTAAGCTTTTTAAATGAACTCGCATTTTAATTATAAACATCTCAAATATACTTTAAGATTATTAGTATAATATATAACCTGATTTATCAATTACAATATATAACAATTAAAATGACTTACCAATTATAATACAATATAATAATAAAGTAATAACATGAAAAACAATACATAAATCCAATCTAATTGAAAACATAACTAAAAATAAAACAAAAACATTGATTAAAATTAAATTGTAAAATTGATGTGTGTGTGTAAATAGATCGGCTTGTTGGGCGTATAAACTAAGTCTTAAAAAACTAATCCTAACCTATTTAATTAAATAGACCTAATTAAAAATTTGAACATGACCTAGCCTTGTTTACTAAATAAACTAGGCCTGAAGTAGGCTAGGTGGCCTATTCCCACCACTGGCAACAACCAATAAGCAGTGCGCATATAGATAAGGTACTAGCTACTCCTAGATGTTTCTTCCCATTAATCATTGTTCATCAGTTCATGGCTTTTTATTGTTATAAGTTTTACATTATTTAGATAGAGTTTAACACTTAATTTTTGACACTTTTTGAGACAAATGTAATGCAACAGTCAGGCGACCCGATGCAGTGTAATACTGCAATGAACCTCTTCGATAAATACAGGTAGTCAGAGAGGGAGAACGAAGCCAACCACCGATAAGCTGAATGAGAACGGCAGAAATTGATCGTAACCTCTGCTATTAGAGATATTTTGTTAGTCTGTGATTGAGAGCATGGTTAAGTTTCTATTCACGAGACAGGCTGTGTTATTTTATTGATTGGCAACGTTAGTTAATCCAACCAAAAAAAAAAAAGTCCCTAGCTACAGCGAATATTCGATATTGCTTAAACTAGTACCCGCAATAATCAAAAATCAAAACTGACATCTGCGAATTTAGGAAAGCTCTCGGCTACGTTTAGCAGCAGCAACAACAGCATTCATCAGTGTTCCACGGAACCCACCTTTCTCCAACTCATGAATCCCGGTAATTGTTGTCCCGCCAGGTGATGTAACATCATCTTTGAGCTGACCTGGATGCTTCCCAGTACTAATGGCCATCGATGCTGCTCCTAATACCTGAGATACACCGCAAATTGCAAATGACACAACTAGATAAATAGTTTTTACCGTGCTTTAAGGCTTAATCACAACTGCTTTAAATGTAACCTCATCGTAGGACGCCTATAAGCTCTCAAAAACAAGTTATACACCTTGCTAAAAACTAGGGACAACAACGATTCTCTAGAAATATATTTCATGCAGTAAAATAAATAAGCCTTTTTTTCCCCAAGGGAAAAAGGTTTCTTGCATCTATGGAAGTAAATTTCTGATGTTATATACAAGATAGCGAAAGTAATTCTATAGAAATTAAAAAAACAAAAGAACTATCAGAAAATTAGAAAGCTAACGTATATGGCAAATAATGTGGCATACCATATGACAAGGGAAACATTGACAAGTTGTAACAGCGAAATAAAAATAAACAAGGATGATATGATACTTTCATGATGTGGTTCTAATCATAAAGAACAACTCTCCAGAAAATTTGCATTATATTAAAAAATGAAACATAAAAGAAAAACAGTTACTCAGGAAGTTGAGATGACAGGCCATTGCAGCACAGCTGGTATTTTCAAACTAGTAGACTAAAGATTCTGGTTCCTTGGAATGGAACCATACATTTAGAATGCCTTGAAAAATGCCATAATAACACTCTGAAAAGAGATAGAAAGACTACTCTAACCATATGAGTTCCAATCTTCCTTTCATTTTTTTTTTCTCTCTAGGAAGACTTGTGTATGAATAATTGATAGAGAGAGCATGTTTTGAACTACATATGCCCAAACTTAATATGATATTTTATTTCTTCACTTGATCAAAGGAGAGCACAAAAGTTCACTTACAGTTTGAGAAGCAAGATTCAAGGCAAGGTCCCTTGGAAGGCCTGCAGCTACACCACCATCAGCTAAAGCCTCTATTGCTAGATAAATATAAGCTGGACCACTGCCACTGAACAATTTTGCCAAAATAACTTCTTCAAAATTTTGAAGGAAAAACCAGCAATGGCGTTCTTTTAGGGCACACAGGGATATAACCTACCCCCCCTTTTTTTGCCACTGGGGTATAAAAAAGCTAGACTTTCTTTCTCCACACTAAGACATTTAATAATGTTCCGCAATTTTCAAGATAAATATCCAAATACAGCCCACGTCTGGATAATGGAATAAACATACCTGAGGCCCGTTATCGCATCAAAATACTTCTCATCAGCTTTCCATATTTTACCAACTGATCCAAATAATTTGGAAATAAGGTCTCCATCTTCTTCTGTTGCAGCTCCTCCCATGCTCATCACTGTCATAATTTAGGTGAAACAAGCAAATTATTGTTGCAGCTCAGCAAAACTAAAGAAAGCCAATGAGAAATAAGGGTTTTTTCCTTTCCACAGAAACATGCAGTTTTATGTTATAAATTACACGGTTTTAGGGGTCCATTCTATGCATAAAGCATGAGCATGATTAGCTATTGAGGAATACACTATAAGATACCTGATGCTGCGTCGCCTACAGCAGCAGGAGTATTAGGCATCACCCTTATAAATCGACAGTGACCGGCCCATTCCTACATATGGAACATTTATTTCAGTAAAGTATTTGAGTAAACTAAATTAAAATATCTACAGAGGCATTTGAGCAAAAGAAAATTTATTTACTTAGCCTTATATACTTAATGTGCTTGTTTTCAATTAAATCAAGACATGTAGATCTTTTATAGATCATTTATTCTACAATAAATCCTTGTTATTAATTTTATTAACACGTTAAGATCCACTTGTCAGGATTTGATTGGATATAAGTATATTAAGTATATAAAGTCAGGTACATAAGTCATAGCTTACCTTCTGAATATTAATAGTAATTTTAGTAACATCCACAAACATTTGAAAGTCACAATAAGTTTATCAACCAAGAAATATGCTAAGACAAAGGATTAATGATCACAGGAAAAAGGCACAAGACTGCTACTTTTTCATCACTGATTACCCAATAGAATGTTGGTGCTACCAGTATAAATAACTAACAACTATATATGTTAAAAAAAAAAAAAACATTGAAATCTCTGAATTCCAGAACCTGGAGGTCTTTCAATTTCACCCCAGCAGCAACTGAAACCAGAAGCTTCTTCGTTGAAAGAAGTGGCTTTAACTGCAAGATCACTTCTTTCACTGCAGAAAAATGACGGGGCCCATGTTAAACATGCCAATAAACACAGCGCACAGGCGATCAAACCATGACAAAACTTTAAAAGAAAGAAAGAAAGAAAGAGGGGTTGGACATAATTTTGTTTATCTGCTTGTCTGCATCATCTTTGATTAAAACCTGGACAATAATGTCAATAAATAGCTCCAACATATATTTTGATTTATGTGAGATACAACAACACAGGAATTTCACGAATTACGTTCGAGAAAAAGGCGCTAAATAGGACCCAGGCAATACCTACTTGAGGTTTCACAGAAAAAATGACCACATCACTTTCTTCAAGCACCTGCGATAAAAAACAGAGAGAAGATGTAATTCAATTTCCAAAAAAGAAGCAGAAACAGAAATTGGCAGAGTTCCTTAGTTAGGCCAGAAAAAAAAATACGTCTTGATTGCGGGAGAGAACATTGACGCCGAAGGACTCGAAGGCGGCACGACGAGCAGGATTGGAGTGAGCAGTGCGAATCCGAGAAGGGGGTAAGACGCCAGATCGGACGGCGCCTCTGGCTATACTCTCCGCCATCTTCCCTGCTCCGATAAAACCTACATTGCACTTATCCACCGGAATAGGAATGATCTCCATTTTTATAGAAGAAGATTAAGAACTCAAGGCTGACTCTGCTGTACTTCAGCTTCACCTTTCTGATTGCTCCACGCAACTGCTTCCACTCTCACCCGTGAAGCAATCCCCAGCCGGCTAGTCTAGTGCGCGCACTAGTGTTAATGTTTATATCGCCCAGCGCTGATAATATAATATAGGTCGAACTGTAACCGGAGAGTTGGCTCGCACTGAGTTGTAAGTTTAGTGGGACATGTTAGTATAACCTGTATTCTGTGCGGGTTATAATTTTATCAACTCATACAACCCATATCGGGTTGATGGTTTAACGAATCAACTCGTTAATAAAAAAAAATATTTTTAATCATATTTTTAATTTTAAAAATTATAAATTTACCTTTAAAATTATTTTTTATGGTAAAAAAAATTATATACTCCTCCTAAAACTTAATTATCTAAATAACAATAAAAATCATTATAATCAAGCCATACTTATATCATCGCTCAAATATAAATTAATTAAATTGTGATTTTTTTATTATCTAGTGTTTTACATGACTGATTAGTATTATATATATATATAAATTAATAAAAATGCTATGTCTATCCCCTTTTCTTTTCACCTTTGACGTTTTTGCTACAAAAATGATGCCTCAATTTAAAATGCCAATTTAAAAAAAAAAAGAAAATAATGATGAATTAAACTTTAATTATTAGATTACTATTCATAACACATTCAGTTCATATTACTTAAATGTTCTGATCTTTGTATTTGTTTTTCTCCTTTTATATTCAAATTAAAATAATAATATAATATATAATTAGCACTTCATAAATATGTTTAATTTTTTAAATAAAAATGATAACTAAACTTTTTTTTATTTGCTTATTTGGATAGTATTATTTTGCGAATAAGATCATTTAAATAAGTTATTATATGAATGAAGCAGAGTATAAAAAGATATTTTATTCAATCTTATCTTGATCATATTTAGATTATATTATATCACTACTTAAATATATAAGCAGTGTGTTTTTATTATTTTTTATCATAATTTAAACTTGAATTAAATAAATGTAAAAATGTTAAGTGCTTAGATTGTAATTTCATACATGTTTACTCTAAATGCTTTACTTTAAATTCAATCTCATTTATTTATTTTTTACTTTTTTAAATATAAACAGGCTAACCCAACAAGTCCAAACCGCCCCACATCTAATTAAATTTATTTTTTCTAACTCATCCAGCTATTTTTTACGAGTTGGAGGGTTACATGCTCAACCCATATTATCAGTTTTGGAGAGTGCAATGCCGTATGTATAAGATATTCATTTACGTGTCAATAATCAAATGGGTTGACATTATTTTGAAAGAAAAATTAATTTTTTACAAAGATCAAGTATTTTTTTTTTTAAGTTATCTCCATTTATTTGCATCTATTATATTCAAATATCCAATAAAAACTTAACACATAAGACAACTCTTTTTTTAAATAACTCATCGTTCTTTTCATAAACACCATTTTTCTCTTATACGTCTATTTTTATTGATAATTGGATGTAATCGATCCAATAAATGAACCTAAATATTCTCCTAAAATATATTTATTATTAAATCTCTATTTTGATCGATCGTAATCAGAGGAATACATAACAGGCTAATCGTAATTAAATTTCTCATATATAATTTTTCACTGTAAATATTATATGCCTCGTAAATTTGTCAATAATATATGCAATTATTTTTCAAAACAACCACCAATCCCTCTATTCACTTAATTAATCCTTGCCTCTCCATATTTAAATACTCAAAAAATAGTAAATAATAATTATCGTAAATCATAAATAAGGACATTTAGAGAAAAATAATTAATGGCTCTGAAAATTGTTAAAAAAAAAAAACTTCATAATAAGGATCATGAAACCCCTTAGAAAGTGGCTCATCATAACAATAAGAGGGAGTATGCATAAGCCTAGTATTTTTTCCCCCATCATTTGATTTATTTTTTATGAAAAAATTGAATCCAAATTATTAACCGTATATAATCTCTTTTTATTATTTCTAAAAATTATTTTGAAAAGATGTTTCATTGTTTTGAAGAGAGATCATATAAGATTTGTAATTTGTAAATGTCATCATAGTCAACGTCTCCAAATGTTTTTCCCCCCTCACACGAGAAGAATTTAGCCAGGTACTTTAAAACTAAAAACACTGGAGCTGAATGCTTCCATTGCTTTCAACCTGAGGCGAAAACTGATCGCCTCTGGATTAAGATTCTAAGAAAGAAATATAATTGCTACCGTCCCAACTTTCCTACGGTCATCAGAACTGATTCGTGATGTGAAAGCTGGAGGGCGGGGAAAGGGGAGACAATTTCTCTCTCGTGTGATAAGCAGTCGACTTCATCCAAACGTCCTGATTACGCATGGTTCCACAATATGGCTGCACTTCTACATGAATGAGTCGTCAATTGCAAAATATCACAAGTGTTACTAGAGGGGAGGATTATATCCGTAGGAAATCTCCGAAGGATGGTTAGCCTTCTATCAAAGCAGCTTGCAAAGACATCAACAAGCCTGCGGGAAGAAACAGAGCCAGAAGAGCCCTAACATCTGATCAAAACTCTTGACGATGCTCCACCGATAAAAATACAAAAACTTCTTTTGAAATGCTGCTGGTGGTCATCAGGTTATAACACCCCTCCACCAAAGTGTTTGGACCTTGTGAATGCTGATGTAAGTAGGCCTTTTTGTCCCTTCTGTACGGATTGCCCGTGTCCTTACACCAGAAAGTGTAGCATTGCCTTAGTCCTAAAAAAGGGTGCAAAATATACACATTTCTTCCTAAACACTAACTGAATTCGGCACTAATCAAAAGCACAGGCAAATATAGGTTAATATGTACTGGGATCATTTTATGCAAAATTTATAGCCAATGGAATTAGTGAAGCATGAAGACTTCAACTTTCATTTTAAAAAAGCATGCTCACCGCTTTTCTTCTCTCTTTTTTGGCATTCTATACACACATCGGTAGTTCAACTTCCAAGTAAACCCAAGCAAAATGACACTCGTGGAACAAAGGCAAGCAAATAATTTCACAGTTTCAGATTATCGCAAAAACATATGATAGATACATTTTTAGCTTTTCACTCCGGTACCCAAAAATCAAACATATCATGGCATGTCAGTGCTGGCAAGGGCTGAGTGCAGTACATCTTCAAGATACTTCTCAGCAGCAGCATACTGTCGTTTCTTATCCTCAATTGCTAAGGCAGCCAAAGCTTTATCCTGCATCATCCCCACCAATACAAAATCATGACTTGAACAAACGACTAAAATGATAAACAGCTTCGGAACGAAAAAAAAGCTGAAATATGACATACTGGAGGTAAGTCTTGGTAACTCCGGAGAGTATCAAGGATTGGTTGAGTTTTCTTCTCTAACTCCTTTCTATGCTCGGCCATTTCAACCAAAACACCATGGCTAATCTCAGGGGAATAACCCACCCGGTTAAGCATCGCCTGTGTTAACAGTTCTTAGGTATAAATTCAGGAATGGAGAATGAATAAATATAAAACCATCGATGTATAAGAACAAATTCAGAAAAATAAGAAAATGTCATCACTTTCACAGCTCTGGCGATGGTGCGATGCTGTTGAATGTCACTTGAAAATTGTTAAAGGTCAAAAGCAATTTACAATCCTGATTGTTTAATTTACAATCTCCGTAGGATATTGCACTTTGGAGTTACACTACATGCTACTTGCTACCTCCATTGGCTACATAAATACCGTCTCTAGAGAGCCGAGTAATGTAAATCTAACACAAACAGCTCTATATATATACAAGGGAAATCCTACTGACAAGAAAACATAGAATGGCTCATGCACTTGGGAGAGGAGTGATTGAAGAACAACTCCCACAAGCATTACTTACAATAATATGTGAAGGACTGTAGATACAATAATCACAAAGGTTAACAATTTGACTAATTCAAAGAAAAATGATCTTCCTATCTTTTGCCCTTGCCATTTTTTTCCACATACAAGTAAAAACTCGTTAGTTATCAGCTGTTCATACCACGTGGTTCTGTACTATAACAATTCAAATTTCTCCATGAAGCTCTGATACTTTATTCTTCTTCGTCAACTATGATAACTAGTAACTCAAATTTAATTTCTATCCTAGTAAAAGGTTTACATACAAAAGAATGCATGCCACTAAAACACACACACATATATATATGCCCTGCTGTGTTCTCTTGGTGTCAGCAATTTTTCTTGATTCCATGGCTAAAATTATAAGGAAAGGACATTTTTACCTTGTAGTTGGCACATTGTTGCATGTACTGCCTTTCTTTTGCAGCCATTACTTGCAAGTTTGTTCTCCAGTTTTCCATTTGAACTTCACATGGAGTTACTTCATCTTCTAACTGGGCAAGTGTTCTGCATAAATAGTTCCGCAAAAGTGAATGAAGGGGGAAAAGGTTAATCCTACAAAGGTTCCACATATGATCTTCACAAGAACAGTACTTGAAAAAACATCAAAAGCACATATTCATCTGAAAGCATACCTCTTTAAATATGTTAGCCTGGCTATAGCCTTTCTGGTAAAATCAAGAAGGATCTTGGACTCCTTCAGTACTTTAGACCTCTTTTCCTCCACACCAGTCTTCCTTAAGGAAATATCAGCCAAAGCTACCAGAAAGCTGATAACAGCTTCCACATCTTAAACTTTGAAGCAGAAAACAAAATAAATAATAAATTCAAGGATACAGTGTAAGGTGAAACATACCTACTCAGTTCAGTGTCTCTAATATTCAACAAATTAGCTACACTTGCAAGAACTTGGGTTGATGCTACCACATTTGAAGGAAGACTCTCTTGGGCCAATCCCACATTCTCCAATATCTCTCTGATCCTAGCAGCTGGAACAATAAAATTTACCCCAAAAAATGGACTTAAATTTAAGAGCATCCCATAATTTAAAAAAAAAATGAAATCAATTGATCCTCGAATATTGTTCATATAAAACTGGAGGCCAGAAACCACCAACCACCGTAATAAACATCGTCATCTTGGAGAAATGCATAATTACCAAGTGCTTAAAACGCAGAGATCAACTTCGCACAAAAATCAGAATCGCGGAAACCCTACCTTGGGATCGGTACTCAGCGGCCTTTTGACGGAAATCACGAGCAACGAGCCGGGCGGCTTCATCTTTGGCCTTGGAGAGGGTAAGCAAACTGTGCAGATGAGCGACACTTCGTGGAGTATATTCAAATTCAGGGACAGGTTTGCCGGCGGCTTCGAATGTCTTGGCAAGCCATTCCTTAACTTCTGCAATCCGAGACGCATCGGATCCGCTCTTTGGTTCTGTTAGCAGAGGATCCTGTTGGTTCATCTTTGATCTTCTTCGCTTCTCTCACTTGTCAAAGCTCAAACACGAATTATAAGCATTAGAGTAAAAACATTATCAATTGTCGAAACTGCATCTCCGACGCGGACATGTTTCCAATTCCAGGTGGGGACTAGGGAGAGTTCGCTTCCCGCACTATCTTTTCCGATTTCGATTTTCGAACCACCTCACTAGACCCTTTAATCCCATATTCATGCACAACTATTGTGAGTAAATAAGATTTTTTCTGTAAATTGACCAAAATACCCTGATTTGAAAAGGCCAAAAGAGACGCACGAGATACTGGGCCTAGCTTCTCTTCATTTTTTTTCTCTCTCCATTTTCTCTTCATTTTTCATCTCAATTGTCAGATTTATTTTTGAATGGTTGAGATTTAATGTTTCATAATAAAAAATGAATATAAAATAATTTTATGAAACATTAAATCTCAACCGTTCGAAAATAAATCTGACGGTTGAGATGAAAAGTGGAAAGGAAGTGAAGGGAAAAAAAATGAAGAGAAGCCAAGTCCCGAAATACTTCCACAACCCTTCTCTCTCGCCAAGGCAACATCACTGGTTGGTTTGCAATTGGAACTCAATCTACTGTAGCAAACCGTGTTGCCTTAATTCTTACGCTTGAAAAACTGCATTTGCTTTGCCCAGTACAGGCTATCTGCATAAGTTTGCTGGGAGAAAAAGAAGGGGCAAAAGGATGACATATGCACAAACACGTTAATGAAACAAGGAATTATCGAAGAAGCGAGTGGAGGTGAGACTGAGAGTGATAATGGCATTAGGTGCGATGGCGATTGTAGCCTTGCTAGGTTTGGGTAGTCTGATGTACTCCAACGCCCTCCGTTAACTCCCTTACATGCAACATCCGTGGGAGCATGCCTTGGGAATGGGTTTGGGTGCTCTTTTTGTTAATTAGCTTGTGAAGTGGGGTGCTTAACTCCAACAAGACATGTCACAAAAGCCAAGGTAGCAAGACTGCAAATGAGCGCCATTATATTGATGATGATGATGATTATTATTAAGGAAGAAGAAAGATCGAGGGAGACGGTAAGGGAAGAGAGAAGGGGTTGTGGAAATGCTCTCTGCGTTTCCTTATTTTGTTTTTTGTTTTTTAAATAAGGATATATTTTTCGGCCAAAAAAAGTAAAGATATTTTAGTTCATTTATAACAATATTATTTACAGCAAAGTTTTCGGGCCTTCCATAATTATTTATATATTTGATGGGATTTTATGATGATTAAAATATTAGGAAAATTATATTAAAATTCTTTTAAATTATCTAAATGACATTTTATTTTTTCAAATTTTTATGATCCTCTTAAAGTCTCTAGAAACTTTTCTGTCATTAAAAAATTAATATAAAAAATAAAATTACCTTTAATTGAAATAAAAATCTCAATCCTTATGACAAGTATTTCGCGTGCTTTTTTGCTTCTCCTTCTCCTTCTTTGTCCTAATGTTTTTCCACCTATTGAAACTTTGCAAACGACGAAGATATAAGTGACCTTTCCTGCTCTAGTAGCTCATATTAGGTTAAAGTAAATTTCTTCTTCTATTTCAAAATTTCTCATCCCATTTGTAAAAATTGAAATTGATGTGAATAACTTTAAAAGTTGAACTTAAAATTAATGTGCGTAAATGATTAAGATTTTCATTTTCTCTTTATATATAAGGCTGAATCACATAGGCATGTAGATGGATAAATAATAAATGATATCATTTTCAGTTGTATTGTAAATACATTAACCAAAGTTGTGAATAACTAATATAAAACTGTGAATATGAGAATAATAGTTGTTATTAGATAAAATATAACAGATATGTGATCATGATCTTTGAAAAAAAGACATGTTAATAAATGATTTTTTCTTCTTCTTGTAGTTTTGAAAAAGAGCTATTTTGTTATTTTCATGTAGGGGGATAATTTGTAAAAAATATTGAAGATAAAATACAATGCGATGAAGGAAGTATGAAGGTAAAAATGATAAGAGAGGGGATGACACTTGAAGAAATGAGAATAATGAGATCATCTTATTTTAGCATTGATACTAATTTTAGTGACATAAATACACTGTGAGCTTTGATTAGTGAACCCTTATAGACTTTGTTGATGACGAAAGAATTATTATTCGATTTAAGTATAATGTTTGTTCGTAAAAAAACAAACAATTAATCAAGGTGTGGTGTGGTGTCGCGAGGCATGCCAGAGACACAAGGTCTCAAGAGAATGAAAGAACATGATTTCTAATCAAACGCAGGGAACCTGGGCTCCCTTACCACAGTTCACCCGGATGTGAGAATGCGAAGTGAAGAATACTAATGTAGATGCAAAAAAGCAGAGATGTATTAATTAAAAAAAAGGGTGGCGAGTTATGCCGGCCATACAATGAAAAATAAAGACTAAAACTACATGATAAAAGAAAAATAAAGTAACAGACGTAGAGTTTAAAACTGATAGTTTGTTGATGTTGATGATGATTTGTGTTGAGAGAGAGCTCCTCTATATATAGATGGTCCTGGTTTTATGCCCAAGCCCCATGATTGTCAGTTTTCTTAAATTTAGAAAGCACTTTCTCCATTGTGTTCACTTATCATGGGTGATGGTCTTGACTTAATGACTAAGACTTTATAAATATAATTATTGTAAAGCCACTTAAGTTGAGTTGGGCTAGGGCCTCCATGTTCACAATTTAGGTGCAAACAATTCCCCTCGTATATAAATTGGCCAAAGTTTTCGTAAGCCAATTTTGTATAGATATATCTTGAAGGACTGGCTCATTCTTATTTTGATTGATGGTTGATCTGATACTTTTCTTGAAGGACACCCTTGTGATTAAGGATTAAGGACCATTTTGTTTAGCTTAGGATCAAGTTTCTCAAGGGTTAGGACCTCAAGAGCTAGTTTTGGAATTAACCCTTCAAGTTTTTGGACTTTAAGGACTGATTTTGTAAAATCTAGCTGTTGTAAGGCCCCTGTAGAGAGAGCCTTTTAGAAGAGAGCTTTCGTGGAAAGGGCCCTTGTAAAACTTACCTTTCTGACTTTGGCCCCTGCGATGCTAGCCCTTATGGTTGCGGCCCTTGTGGTTGTGGCCCCTATGACTTCAGTCCTTCAGATCTTGACCCTTGTGATTGTGGCCCTTATGGTTTCAGCCCCTTTAGTACTAGCCTCAATGGCTTCGACCTTGTGACTCTCACCCTTTTAATGCTGGCCCCAATGCTTCGGCCTTTGTGGCTCCAATAGCTCTGGCCCTTGTGGCCAAACGGGCCTGCTATTGAATTAGACTTGTCATTTGTCTTTTGAGAAATGTTATAGCAGTTTTCGTTATTGATCTTTTGGTCGAATGGAACTTTGGGAGAATGCCCCCTGAGTCCATCTATTCTCTGAAGGTGCGAACTAATCGAAGCTTGCTCCTGTAATGATCTAGACAGCATAGCAAAGATGTTCCTTAGCCCCTCCCTCAGAGTTTGTAACAGAGCTCTTTACCTCTCGTTAGCTCGTACTTCACGTTCTGCGTGTACAGCTACGTTCTCTGAGTCATAAGACTCAAGTCAATTCTTTCCAACAACATATTGATCCCCATGTGTCCTAGGCATTTCTTTCACATGAGTCCCACTAGGCGTGCCAAAAATTGTTCGTAAAAAAACAAACAATTAATCAAGGCGTGGTGTCACGAGACGTGCTAAAGACGTAGGGTCTCGAGATAATGGAAGAATTTGACTTCTAATTAAATGCAGGGAACCTGGGTTCCCTCACCATAGTTCACCCAGATGTGAGAATGCGAAATGAAGAACACTAATGTAGATACAGAAAAGTAGAGATGTATTAATTAAAGAAAAAGGGTGGCAGGCTATGATGGCCGTACAATGAAAAATAAAAACTAAAACTACATGATAAAAGAAAAATAAAGTAACAGATGTAGAGTCTAAGACTAATAGTTTGTTGATGCTGATGATGATCTATGTTGAGAGAAAGCTCCTTTATTTATAGATAATTCTGGCTTGGTGCCTAAGCCTTATGATCGTCAGTTTTCTTAAATTTAGAAAGCACTTCCTCCATCATGTTCACTCATCATGAGTGATGGTCTTGACTTAATGGCTAAGACTTCATAAATATAATTATTTTAAAGTTAATTAAATTGAGTTAGGTCAGAGCCTCTATGTTCACAATTTAAGTGCAAACAATGTTAAAGTAGTTATGTGTATATAGGTTGTAAAATAAATGACAATGAAGAAGCAACAATTGAGGAGGCACCAGTGTAAGTTACTATGTTAATTCCTCTAAACAAAGTTGTCATTTGCTATAGGATAATTATTATTTTAGTAACCAAAATTGTGATTGTCACTATTAATGTAAATGACACATGAAGCTAGATAGATTATAAATACAGGATGGAGCAATTATTGTCACTTTTAGATCTAAACTCTCATTCTCCTGTCATGCAAGATTATGATTTTAAAAGTTGTAGATCACATATGTTGGGTAGAATATCAAACTTATGTAACCAATAACAAAACCTTAAAGAGTTGTCATTTTTTAAAGTTTTCTTATCATTTAAATTAATAAAATTTATTGTTTCTTGAATTAAAATGATAATTCATTTTTGTTTATTTAGTCAATTGTGTAGGGTATTAATAAACCACAATTCCTTATTGCATTATTACGATTCTAAGAAAAAAAGTTATAAATATTAGAATAAAACTTGTGAATGACAATTGATATTTACAACATTTAAATAATGTCAAGATTTCAAATGCAAACTTACAAATTGTTAAAACTTACAAATTGTTACTAAATTATTGTCATCTTAGAAAAAAAAAGTTATTAATCTTATAACAAAACTGTGAATGGTAGTTGATATTTGTAATACTTGAGGAATATATTATTGTTGAATTCTTGCAAATTTAAAAAAAAAATTGTGAATCACATAACAAAACTTGTGAATAGTAATTGATATTTGTAATACCTAAAGAATATCAAATGCAAACTTACAAATTGCTATTAAATTCTTGTGATCTTAAAAAAGAAATTACAAATCTTAAAACAAAATTTATGAATAGCAATTAATATTTGCAATACTTGAAAAATGTCAGAATTTTAAATACGAACTTGTGAATTGTTATTGAATTCTTGCAATTTTAGGAAGAAAAGTTATAAATCTTAAAATAAAACTTATGAATAACAATTAATATTTATAACATTTGAGAAATGTTAGGATTTCAAATGTGAATTTGCGACTTACTATTAAATTATTGCAAATTAAAAAAAACTTATGAATTTTAGAACAAAACTTGCAAATCAAGGGTGCGAAATATCTGTTCTAAGATTTGAAATTTTTATTTCAATAAAGGATAATTTAATTTTTTATATTAATTTCTTAATCATAGAAAAGTCTCTAAGGACTTGAAGAAAATTATAATATTTTAAGAGACTCAAACATCATTTAAATAATTTAAAAAAATTTTATTCTCATTTTTTCTTTTTTATTCTCATTGAAAGAAAATTTTGTTTTATTTTAAAATGAAATTTATATTTTAGTAAGTAGATTTTAGTTTGACTAAGTAAATTATAACTATTTAAAACCAACAAATTTAAGACTCATTAGAGAAAAAAAAAGCAGACATTCACATCGAAGAAAACAATTTTTTAAAAATATTCATGAGAACATTACCAACGCCAGATCAAAGACACTGTATTTGATTTTAATGCTATCATTTTTATTATTATTTTAAAATAACATTCAGTGAATTTCTGAAACCTCGCATTCATTGGACTAGGCAGGATAAATCCTATAGTTTAGAGATTTTATTTTATTTTTCTTACCTATACTCCCCCAGTTAAGAAACATAAGATATTTTTTTAAAGAATAGGTATTAAAAAGTATAAAGTATTTTTAACTTTTCAATATGTAATTGATAAATTTTTTTAAAAAAAATCCTTAATAAATAAATCATTCAAAATATCCTGTTAAATAAGAATAAATATAAAAAATAGTATAATTTAGTTAAAATTACTTTATATTTTTGGACTGATGCAGTATTTTTTATTTCTGTTCTTGCTATAATTAGTTAAGAATGCCATTTATTCATTTGTAGCTTTTCTTTTATAGCCTAAATATCATTACCTTCTTTCATTGTTTGATTCTTTAACGCAACAATATTTTGCACACGAAGATTTATAACTGAAACAACTGAATATTACTTTAAATCAAGAATTTATCATATATAACATTACATCAGATTACTTCTCCACCCTTAATTCGAAATTACACCACAACTTTCATTGATGAAGAATATTATTTTTCCATCCCAATGACTAAACATGCATATGCCTAAGAATCTGGAATCCATGATCTCACTTCAAAGTATGCAACAACTATCTTTCGTTATTTGAATTCGCAGCCCATTATCTCACTCCAATGACCCTGCATGCAGTATGCTACCAGAGCAACATTAAGATATATACAATGGCAGGTAGAATAGGATGTCTAAAGTAGAACAATTGATTAAAACCAACCCGATTTTAAATAACTAGAGTCTAAACAAGCTAATTTTAATAGATTCAATTATACCTTAAGACTTCATTTTACAATGCCTGCCTCTAACCCTCAAAACTAAAAGGGTGACTTTGCAAGCCTCAACCCAATTTTTTTTCTTTTTTCAATTTACAAATATAAAAAATATATTTATAATTTTAAAAAAAGTTAGTACATATAAGATTAAGTTTACGAAAATAAATTTAATCCACTTCACATAACAAAAAATATGTAAAACTTAAACATTCAAATATAATATCAAAATTAACATCAATAAAAATTAAACTTTGCTAATATCATTAGTTAAAGCTTGATGAATGAATGAGAAAGAGAAGAATGAGGCTAGGGTTTTTAGGCTTGTTTGACAATTTATTCTGAGGTCAATTTTTTATTCTCCAAAACAAAAGAACAAAAAAATTTATTTAGTAATGTGTTTTCAAAATGTGTTTTTTTTTAAAAAATATTGTTCTGAAAAATAAAAATAAAAACAGCTTTCAAATGTTATAGGATTATTGTTCTAAAAAATAAAAAAATAAAAAGATATATATTTTCATTATCTTTTATTTTCAGAACATGTTTTATAAAATATCAATTCTTAAAATAATAAAATAAAAATAATTTCAAACAGTCCTTTATTTCTTTCAATTAATATTTCATTCTTTGGATTGAAATTTAAAAAAACTAATAATAAAATAACTTAAAAAGACCAGCTCTTTTATTTTCAAGCTTAAAAAGACTGACTCTTTTAAGCTTGAATCATCATTTGTTTACCTTAAATTAACAACTTGGCCCTAATTATTTTAAGGCTTAAAAGAACCAGCCTCATAAACTCTGTCCTAATTAACAACTCTAATTTAAACACTTAGAAGAAACGTTTAGAATGAAATCATATATGAATCAGAACCGTACGAAAGAATGTCTTTATAATCACCCCAGCTGATAATCAATATATATAATAAGGACTATAATAAGTCACATTATTCATAATTATAAAAGCACAGCTTACTTTTCTGATTGCATGCAAAATATTTAAAATTTATATTTATAATAAAAATAATAATAATAGCAAGCATTCAGAATTGCATCTACACCACAACGTCTAGACTGGAAAAATGTCCAGGAGTGAAAAAGAAAACCACCATGGTCATGAAGTTCCCACCTACAAATGCAGCATGATGCAAATCACTAGGGATCAAGTTTGTGCAATCACAAACATGGCACTAGTTCAAAATTAAAATTTGACGCTTCTGCATGACTGAACAGCTAGCTTGGACTACAACTAACAAAATACAAGAGACAAACTGCACAGCAAAGCATCACCAAACACATCGGTATGTGACATGCATCTGGGAGATATCACCACTATAGGTGACTTTAACTACTTGTCCCCTCTCCAGTCCATAGTATCGCGCAATGGCATCTTTCTGCAGCATGCGGGGAAGCTGAGGAATAACCAGGATTCAACTTAGGATAGCGGTGTTGAAATTTCTACTTGTAAGCTTACAACAATCAGATGACATGACACTTACTATGCAAACTCCATTACAGATCATTGGAAATGGAAACTACGTACAAAGATAAATATGTATATATGATTTTACATTTTTAAGAATGTGTCCCAACTGACCTGCTTTTCTTCTAAATTGTATTTCTTCAAAAGCTCTTGTTTCTGTTGATTAGTCAGCACCTCGTGCTTTGGCTTCAATACATGCTTTGTAATGTTAACAAGTAAATCGGTGATCTGAAAAGAGGATAGAAAAGCATTTAACCAATTATGGAACCGAATCTTTGGTGAGCAATAACCATAGATAAAAATAATAGTGGAAAGGTTCAATTTTGGAGAAAACATCCTTATATATATATATATATATATCAGCCGATTATATACCAAGCCAGTAGAACCTAAGATATCCATCTTCTTTAATTTAAAAGTAAGCCAATTGATGGGGGGGGCTTTCAAGTCATAAACTAAAAGGCTGAGTTGCACAGAGCATAGATATAACCTAAATAAATCATCAATTGATCAAAACTACAGAGATAAACCATGAAATAAGATTAGCTAGGAGAAAATGCTTATATTCTGGATCGGAGGGAGTGTACCATGAATATCTAAGATGTCTTTTACTCTTTTATTTAGCCATTGCTCATGAGATAACATAGTGCTACACTCTCTTTGTTCCTTCTTATAAGACAACTTTTAGAAGGTTTTAATGTTTCTATTTATAAGATGATCTGTAAAATCTAGGCAGTAATTCATACGTTTTTCCCAAAAATGTCCCTAAATAAGATTGCTTTTAATTACTCGAGAGAGAGTTTGGCCAAAAAAAGGTTTAATTTAGAGAGCATGCGTAAGAGAGAGAAGAGTATTTATTGAAGGGTATTTGTGTAAAGATAAGGTAATTTCAAAGACATGCATTAGTTCTCTTGGTCTGTGCAAATTAGGTAATTTTGACTCATAAATAGGAACAAAAGGAGCACATCTTTTAATATGCTCGGTTGATAGGTTAAGCATCCTGCTTCAGCAAAGGGAAAGCAATTCCCCATAGGTACTTAGCTTCACTTCAGAAAATTAAAAAAACCAAATCGTTCGACAACATACTAGAGTCACTTGACAAAGAACAGGCCAGACAAACCCAAAGAGATAAAGACGCAAGCTCAGAGATGCAAGTTGATCTCAGACTAGACTTGCAGTTTCCTAGGGGAGAGAACCAGAACATTCAAACCCCTTGAATCCCAAATGCCTTAATGGTCTGTTTGCTGCCAATGTCTTTTCAGTTTCGTAAAATGTAAGTTTCAATCTAAGCATTCATCTGAGGATCAGGGTTGTATACATTTGCTAATCCTGTGATACTTATCCAGAAGCTGTATACATTTGGTAAGCCTAGGATACTTATCCAGGGTATTGCAAATGATGAGACTTAAGATATTGGCACGAATCAATGCTTCATAGCTGTGTTCTAGCAACCAATTGTTCCTAAATTATTCAGCAAAGAAAGATTTTAACCTGATTATAACAATCCAAGATTTAAAAGAGTACTAGTTCATATAATTAAGGTTATCATAAGTAGTTTTTATCAAAAGATATCATAACTAACTATTCCTCCATTTCCCCATAATTACCAAATTTGGAAGGTTTCCCCACCAAACTCCACTTTACTAATTTCCAAACATCAAGCTAATTAACTTTCAAGTTATCTTTTCATGCAACAACAGCTACGTCGACTGGAAAACAAACATCTAAAGGTCATTATTTGCAAATCCGCTGATACCACTTCCATTACTATTTCAATAAGTTATTATATGACGAGAAAAACAACTTCCTTAATCTTAATCAGATTTCAATAATGTCAGAATGCAATTTATGCACAAAATTGCTATAGCCTATAACTTCTAGGGAACTGTTAAATTCAACTTGAAATTAAAGAAACAACAGATAGAATGTCCCAAAAAAAAAAAAAACGACAACATGAAAGAGAACCATGCTCTAGAAGATTGAAGACAGCTCTAAGAAAACAAACCTGGAAAACTTCAACCTTGAATTTTAGAACTTCTAAAGCTTTCAAGGCCTGGTTAGTAATTTGCTCCTGAACTATCAATATCATCCCAGATAAAGTGTCTGTGTTGAAAAGTTGGCCTACAAGGCTCCGTATCGCATTAACTTTTACAACACCAGGCCAGCAGAAAATGACCAAAATCTGCAATTCAAGGCATGGAAACAGGCATTATACAGTAAACCCAGCCAAGGCAAAATTATAGGGAAAAAATGAGAAAGATAAGACCAATCCAATTTCCTTCATTTAATTGAATTAATATTATACCAGATTTACAAACAACATATCTAATTATCTGGTAGAGTGCGCAGCCAATACCGTACTATCATTTTCTGACGAAGCTTATAAAACATTTCATCAGGAGCCCTGCGTTGGGAACAATCTTTTCCGAGATTAATCCCCTTATCCCTGAACTCGGGGGCATCAATGACATGCGAAAAGGGGTTTCACGTGGTGAATGCCTACAGTGGACAGTGGACTGAGCGCACTGCTACGAGAACCAGCAACATTGCAATCCCTAACTACTGAAATGGAGAAAGAAACGGTGAAAGGCTGAGGAGAGTTACCCGCTTGGAAGGGTCAGAGGCATGGGTAGCGGAGAAGCGGAGGCGTTCGATGTCAGGGGATTGGCCGTGAATGGCCCGAAATTCGGCGAGAGAGAGGCCTATTTCAGAGGAGGGAATGGAGAAGCCCCTGTCTCTGAGCATCTCAAGCACAGTCTTTCGAGAAAGGTAGTATCTGTGACTCTCGATGCTGCCTTCGTCCACATAGCTGCTGAGGCACTTGGCTGGTGCCGCTTGTCCCGCTCCTTCCTCCTCAACATGGTGCCCGTTCGCATCCATCCCTCTCCCGATTTTCCGTTCAGTGTCCCAACCCAAAAGTACTTACATGAGTTTGATACTTGGCTAGGGTCCAGGGCGGCTTATTTATTCTTTCCGTATTTTTTTTGGGGAAAATATCATTTAGGCATGTTTCATTTGAGGAGAGGAATTTTAACAGATGGGAGGGAAAAGGAGGAAAGAAATTTAATTTTACCTCATTTAATTTGAGAAGAGAAAAGATAAAAAATAATTATATAAAGACCACTTTGTCTTTATATGATTAAAATTATTTTTCTAATAAAATATAATTATAAATATTTTTAACATAAAATTATAAGTATATATTATTAAAAATATGTAATTGTTGAACTTGTTTTAAAAAATAAAGAGTGACAATTAAAAGAAGGAGTATTTTGATTATTATACAATAAAATTATACTTTTCTCCTTTCAATCTCCCCTCAATTTTGATGGGATGGTGTGGAAGGGAGATTTTTTAAAATTTTCTCTTTTTTTTCTTCTGCTTTTTCAAGCTAAATAAAAGAAGAGATGTATCTAGACTCGAGAATAAAAGGCAGGTTTGGTGTCCCGCTCATTTAAACTTGTTTTTATTCCCTGCACTGTCTACTCCTTGTTAGAAAAAAAAAAAAAAAAAAAAAAAAAAACCTAAGTCACCCCCACTGAGACTCTCATTCTTACTTGTCCATGAAACGCACCCGCAGATTGCTATCTCCTTTTGGCTCACCTCCTTCTCTGGCCATCTCTATCTCAATGATAGATTACTCTCGGCTATTGTCCTTATCTGGCCAAATCAATCTCGGCTACGAACTGTTATCCGCTCTCCTCCTTCTCTAGCCCTCTCAATCTCGGTAAGGAATTGCTGTCGTCTCTCTTCCCCTTCTCGATCTCGAGGACGGACGATGGTGCTTGTGATGGCAAGTTGCTTTAGTTGCTCACAAATCAATTCTTTGCTTCAGCCTTCAGGTACTTCTAATTATTAATCACTAGGAGAGGATGTGCTTTGCTAAGCCTTATACTGTGTGCGCCGAGTTAGCTTGCATTTGCAGCTACTTTAGACTTGGGTCTCAAGACAAAATTTTGTAGCTTGGTGTTATTCTTTTAATAGAACATGAAGCATTAGGAAATTACGGTCCTTTGCAGGCAGTTAATTGATGATTCATCTTATACAATTATAATATTATTTTATTAATTTTTGATGTATGAAATCACTTATTAAAGTTTTATGCAATGAAATTAAATAATCTGAACATTTCATTTTTAATTGATACCGCCAATCCCTTCAATTTATTTTTATGACATAGTTAATCTTAACCATGATTTCTAAACGATGAGAGGATTTGGATTTAGATATATGAATATTTTAATTAATTTAGACTTCTAAGTGTGTGCTATTTATTTTTTAGAAAATTATGATAATCTTGATTTATTTTATTTTAAATTTTAAAATATTATAATTATTTTGTAATACTTACTTTTATTTTATTTTTTAAAATAGGGTTTAAAGGTCCAGTCCTGAGCCCTTTGAATAAGAGTCAGATCTCAAAAAAAGGAAAATAGGTTAAAGTATTTAGGCTCATAAGGGCCAAGCCTACCTGTTTTCTAACTTTGGGTGCACCTTCCTCTCACCCAACCAAACAATGACAACATACAATTTTGAAATATCATTGTATGATCACAAAATTAATTTAAAAATAAATTTAAATGAAAAAATATTATAATAACCTTGCTTCTTTAAAACTTGTGAATTAGGGAATGATTTCTTGTTAAATTTAAACAAGTATTTGTTAATTGATGAATTGCTACTTGTTGAAATATGATCTACATGTATCCTTTCTTATAATGAAGTTTTTTTAGATTTTTGAATTTGTCACTTAGTGAATGGCTTTTTGTTATATGTGAATAACTACTTATTAATCATTGAATGACTATTTGTTAAAACATGATCTGTGCATATCCCTTCTAATAATAAATAATTAATTAATAAATAATTAATTAACTACTTAGTGAATGACTATTTGAATTTGTCAATTAGCAAATGGCTTGCTGTTAAATGCAAATGGGTACTTGTTAATTAATAAATAATTAATTATCAATTAAAAAAGAAAACTAGGGGTGTTGTAATCTTTATCCATTTAAAATTATTTTCAAATCACTCCCCTGATCTTGTAGTAATATTTTAAAATTTTTTTGTCATTGTTTAGTATTAAATTATCTCAACAGTCCTTAAATGATATTTTTTCCTTTTTTATACCTTAATGAATACTTCGTCTGATCTTATTCATGTGTTATTTCTATTAACCCCATTAATATCAATTCAATAAAAATATAAAAAATAATTGCAAATGAAATTTCGAAACTAACCTTCAAATGAAAAGACAAAAGTATTATAGGCTAATATAATATCATTTTTCTTGCATTTTTCTTTGCAAACAAAGCGAATAAAGAGAGAGGGAGAGGGTATGTGTCAAAAAGGTACAGTGAACAAGGTTTTTTTAAAAATTTTAATTTGAGACAAAAATCACATACCTACCAGCGACTTATATTGGGGACCAAATTTAGCTTTTAGAATGTGACCAATATTTTGAACTGGAGGAATGTCTTTTGTGAGAATGGCATCTAAATCCTAGAATGGACAAAATTGCAACTAGGCCCAATGTATTTTGAATCATTTTTACAGGTAAATATACCTTAAATGTAATGAAAAAAATGCATTTGTCCCACATGTTTAAGCTTTTTAGGTGTATGTACCACACCATTTGTAAAGAATGTAACAAGGTCCGTGTATAAATAATATAGTGTTTGTTTATTATGTATAGTTTGTGTGGTTAAAGGAAAAATGTGCCTTTAAAAAAAATATTCACATTTGGAGCCTTTAGACTTGTAGAAAGTATAAACAATTGAATTGAGCTTCAGGTGTAATTTTTTCATCCCAAGAACCTTAATTATAATTCTCTCACATATTTTTGCTCTCCCCTCCATTAATATTATTATCATGGATGTGCTCATTCTTTTTGTGACAAAAGAGGCCAAAGGCCTGCAAAGAAGACAAAGCTAGGGTAAAAGTCACCCCGCACAAAAACAAAATAGAAATAAACAAAAAAAAACAAACAAAACCTTAGTCAATCAGCCAAGATCAAATGTTGTCTCTGCGTTCTTCTTATCCAATCAAATTGTTACCTCAATCTAAGGAGGCACCTCAAACCAAGTTTGATTCAAGATATGCAAATCCATATGCTCTCTTGCAAGGCGATTTGCTTACTCATTCCTAGCATGGTGAATTTAGTGCAAACAAACCTTTTGACTTTGACTTAAAAACTTCTCAATCTCCTATATCTACCGATCAACAAGTGCTCATTTGGTTCAATTCCTTGCATCGAGACTACGAGTAATCTGAATGCATTTTGCTTATTCATGATGTTTGATTAGACTTAGTGATGCAAAAGGATTATATTTTGTAATCCATATTCCCTTAAAATATGCATCCTAATTACATGGCCATACGCTATGAATAGGGATTACATAGTGAGTCAAAGTCACTTTTACCTTGAGAAAATCAAGCAATCCATGTGCTTTCTCCATTCCTGGCTTATTTTTGTGATAGTGTCATCGATCTTTAGCTTCATCACCAACATTAGCCTTCACAATGGCACTATCTATGAAACCTTTACTATCAACCATCACGCTCTTGCCTTATAGAGTAGAGATTTGGAATGAAGTGGTGGATGTCATTGCATCTCATATCACATTTTATTACATCTCATTCCATTTAATTACATTCTACACAATTCCTTGAACTAAACAGGTTATAAAAGTATCAACCTCATTTTCCCTTTTAAACGACCCACAACCTCCATTAATTCCACCTCCACTCGTAGCTTTCAAAAACTAGAACCCCAAGCAAGTAAAGGCCCTTTTCTACAAACCCCAGCACTCTACCTCAAATTCCGCATGCCATCTAACACCTATCATGAAACCTATCAACCACTCTTCATTATAGTTTCTCAAAACCACCACAACCCAGTCTCTCTAGGTTCTTTTTGCTTGAGTAATAGGCAATCATGCTAGCATGCTCTAATTTAACCTAAAAAAATAAAATTATTATGTGCTTGGACAAAATAATAAGAAGGGATGCACTTTTCATTCTTGTATATGAAATTTCATGAATGGAAATTTATTGTTGGCTTGGAAAAGAGAATGGGAGTGCATTCCCTTCCATTCACGCATTTATACAATTGAAGAAAAGGCAATGCGTAAATACATGGCCATGTTTGAATTTATATTTTGCCAGTATATACATTGATTCTTTTACCAACATGGTATATATTTTTTTAGTATTTTGTTAGTATATTTGTTTTTAGCCTTTTGAGAAGAGACTGTGTTATTAACTATCCTCTACAGGTGGAAATTTCTGAGACACAACAGGCTATCTATGGTGATAGGAAAGTGAAAATTCACTATATCAATAGAAACAATATTGGATGCACTAATTTTCTAGCAAAGTTAGGAATGACGATTGATTCAGAGATGATGTTGATAGCTACAATTCCTCCAAGATGTTTAAGGAAATATCTAAAAGATAAGCAACATGCTAGTTAATGTGCTTCTTATTATTTTTTATTGGTTTTTAGGTTAGTTCATAGTTTTTAGTTTTTCAAGCTCTTGCTTGCCTTTGCAATAAAAAAATATTTTTTAAGGAAATTCATCATGTCAGTTTATGAGATATTTTGACAAAAAATAAGATTTCATCAACGATATTTTTTTAAATATTATTCTTCTCATTATATTATCTTTGTTTAATATTCCTTCACAAATAAAGAATTAAAGGAATGATATTTTTAAAAGTTAATATTTTTATTTTAAAAAATATTGTAAAGTATACTTAATAATTTTTTTGTTATGTATAATTTTATCTAAAAATATCTTGTAAATTAAAATAAGAAATATTATTTTTTTAAGAAAGTTACATATTTATTTCACACCAAAAATTTATTTCATATTTGTGAACACATAACATTGACAAAGGATATTTGATTGGCAGTGATTTAAACCCCACCTTGATTATATTCTTTGCACATGAATAAAGAAGTAATGATACACATTGATCAGCTGTAGGCGCTATGAATAACATGCAGTCTGCGACCAGGGAAAGAATAGTATAAGTCGAAGCGGAGTGAGTGAGGCGAGGACAATTTCAGTCCAGATGAGATGCCGCGCGGGCAGTGCGCGCGTGCACAACACGGTCCCAACGTCCCCACGTTCTTCGGGGGTTCTGTTTCCGGGACCGGGGGTGAGCTAACAAAAGAGACAGTGCATGTCCGATTAGCATTCTCACTACAAAATAACCGGACACCGCCAACTACAGTGAGTCGATATTTCCCAGATTACTGTGCTCTACCTGGCAACACACATTTGGGCCAAAAAAAAAAAAAAACCTCGTAACACGCATCCCTTTTAATTTCCCCGCTCTTCTCCAGGCCCTTCCGCCTACCACCTCACGCTACCCCCTCTCAAAAGGAAATCCGAGTCAAGTTATATAAATTTGCTTTAATAACTGGTCATAAAAGTTAGGTTGTATTAAAAAAAACCGATCAATATAAAACAAGATCATATTGCAGGTGCATATTTTTTAAAGAATTATAAAAAAATAGATGAATTGATGAGTTAGCTCATTCAATGCATTAACCCTTAATGGTTGGGTTTAGTTAAAATTTTAAGTCATATAAAAATAAATTAAATCTAACTCAACTCATATTTTTTTCAAACCACATAAACACATACGGTGAGTTGGCTCATATTCTCACTTTCCCACCCCACTCAAAATCAAAACTCACTTCCCTTTTATAGCAAGCAAACTCCTAATTAAAAATTAAAACAACTTCTAGGGAAGAAGCGTTATTAAAATTTTTAAGTACTTTTCTTGCCAAAATTATTTTAAATTTATGACTTGTCAAATTCTTCCAAATTAAACAATTTTATTGGAAATGATTACAATCTTGATTATATAAATTTTTAAGATACAAATATTTTAAAAAAATATAATCATTGATTCATATAATTTTATCAAGCATTGCTTTTAATTTTTGTAACTTTTTTAATGTCTCTATATTTCACTAAAATTAGGTGACATTTGTTCACTTACAATGTTAAATTACAAGGATTACAAATTGAAAACATTGAAAATAAATCATACTCCTCTCTTTAAAAAATATAAGACATTTTTTGAGGAATTGAATATTAAATTAAGGCATTTTTAATTTTTGAGATATAATCATTGTATTTTTCTTTAAAGGTATCCCTATTGATGAATGACTTTATATTTATTATAAGATATTTAATAAGAATAAATATAAAAAGATAGAGTTATTTTGAAAATATATAACAACTTTATTAGGAGGTGAAATTCAGTTAAAAATACCTTACATCTTTAAATATAGAGAGTAAAGATTAAAAGTAACATCCGATAACATTATGTTTTCCTAAATATTTTTAAGATACAAATATTTTTATATAAACTTTTAAGATACACATATTTAAAAAAACATAATTATTGGTTCACATAGTTTTATCAAGTTTTATTTTTAATTTTTATAAATTTTTTTAATGTCTCTATATTTCACTAAAATTAGGTGACATTTGTTCCTTAAATCACTTACAATGTTAAATTACAAGGATTATAAATTGAAGACACCTAAATAAATTATAAAAATTAAAGTAAAATCCGATAACATTATGTTTTCCTAAATATGTTTTTTCCATGACAACTGGGCTGGACTCAAAACTCATCGCAGAATTGGCCAAAATCCATTAATGAGATATAAAAGTTTTTTGGGCTAACGACAACAGATACAGGAGAAAACTCACAATGGCAAATCAGATTGACGGCTGATACATCGCATGTTTAAACTCGCAATCCTAACCTCAACCCCAGACACGTGGGTAAACTCACAAATCACAATCATAGATCACGCGTTCAGTTAATAAATTCTAATCATAAAAGATTGAGTGGTTTTATTTAAAAAAATAAATAAATATTAAATGGATGTGAAAGCGAAACCATGGATCAATTCAAATGACAGGTCAAAGAGACCAACTTTTGAAACAACCAAACTGATTAGCTCCAATGAAAGGTGCCCGCAAAGCAAGCACGAGACGTGGTTTTTCTTTTGTTTGAGTAACATGACCAACTCAGCTACGATTTTTTCCCCCGACATATGCATTATCCTTATAAAATTTATTAAAAAATCAGACTTTTTTTTTAGGAAAAAAAATTAGATTTATCTCATTCTCGCCCTCGCTCAGGAAAAAAAAAAAAAAAGAAGAGAGACTACAGGTCATGATATTTTCGCCGAAATCTGGATAGCCTTTTATTATCAGCTAGCCACAGCGAACAAAATCACAGAAGCGTGAAGCCAGAAATACAACATTCATACTACCAATTCTGCATTCTAATCTTAAACTACTATAGGCCTTCGAGAATCCTTGATAAATAGATATCCCATAAAACGAGACACATAACATGACTTGACACACTAGAAATTAAAATAAAAGCATGTATGTTAACAGAAGATGCCACTTCTATTTTCTGCTGTTCCGAGAGGCAGCGAACAATAATGATGATATGATGATCATAATCATGGATCAACCTAAAAGGCTTTAGCATGAAGGAACTACGGGCATTCATATTTAATAAGTATAATGATTCATGTAGTTCTTAGAACTCTCATCAGTACAAATTGAGCAAACCAAGATATGGATCACAGACTGTTACCCGTAAGCCGCAATTATGAGCAGGAGCAGCCTGGACACCTAATCAAGCCATTCTCATTGCAATGAGGGCATCTTCTCAATTGTCCTTCTTCTTCTTTAAACACTTTTCTACTACCACTGCAATTTGGGCATGGCACAAATCGGGCATCTCCACAGGTCTCGCACACAAACCCTGGATCCTGAATAGGAAAACCTTTCAAGAGTTTCGCCAATTCTCCAGATTCATTGAGTTGCTTGATTTCCTCTGCGCCTCCTACATGTTTTCCCCTTATAAAGATCTGGGGTAAGGCCATTGATTTTCCTTTAAGAGCATTCTGCAATTCTTTTCTGTAAGATGAGTCCATAGAGATGTCCCTCTCGTCTACGGCAACTCTGAATCCTCGTAGTATCGCTCTCACTGAACAGCAATCTTCGTAAGTCTTGCGGATTCCTCTTAAACTCGTAAAATAAACCACTATTCTCTCTTCAGTGCCCGATAGTGAACGACAATAATTGTGAGAAAACGAAGAACTCAAAGGGCTAGACCCCAATGACCGGACATTTCTGGGAACGTTGCTACCTAATTGCCTCGATGAGAGAGCTCGCCGATAGCTCCAAGCCACATTTGGATCTAATTTAGAGAGCAAGGCTTCCTCCGATAGGTATTGCCAGAGCGGCTTCTTCGCCGACGAGGGGGACGAGTTTTTGGTAACAACTTCTGACGAAGAGTATTTCTGTGCTTCAAACGATTCAAGCAGTACTTTCCTGGCAGACCCATCAAACGTAGTGTACCTGCACGAACTGGGTTTGTCCGTAGTACACACGGGACGGTGAAAAATCGAAGCTTGAGGCTTGGCAGTGTCATCGCAATCATCATCATTGAGGCCATCCATGAGTTCCCAAGTGTTGATAACGGAGTCAGGGGACAATGACTGCTCAGCCTCTAACTGATTCGTTCTGTTTTGAGAAGACGCGTTGGTGAGATGGGTCGGAGATTTAGACCGAACACGACCATCATCATCGGAGTTGAAGCTAGGGTTTCCAAGGTCGGATCGGTCATTTAAAATAAGAGAACCATAGGTGGTGGAGGTGAGGGATACGAGGTGGTGGGTGTCGCCTTTTCTAGTCGGAGGATGATGAACAAGAGGCATTGGAAGAGAAAGAGTTCTGGGAACAGGTGGTGAAGAAGAATTGGATGAATGTGAAGCCGAAGAAGACGAAGCCAGAGAAGAAGAGTGATCCTCAGCGTTTTTTGTGACTATGGTCATGGGTCTTGAGGCTGAGCAGCCCATGAATACGAAACTGAGACTAGTTCAGGAACTCGATTTTGAAGAGTATTTCTTCAGGCTTGTTGAGCTTGTGAAGTTATGGTTGTCGCTGAGGAATCATGAAGTGTGAGCTTTTCAAGGCTTAGATGAAAAGGAAGACAGAAAGAGAAGGAAATGAGTGGGTTGGAGTTGGCAGGGAGCTTTCAAGAAGGTTGGGAGGGGGAAGATGATGCAAATCAATGCTCTTGCAGTTAAAAGCATTTTTATATTCCGACTCGAGTTGGTAACCCAGATTAAATAAAACTAAAAACTAAAAAGAGTCACTTAACTCAGACTGAGCAATGGAAATTTCTATTCGATTTGCGCGGATCTAGCTTATTTAGTTTTGTTTGTCTGGATTATCATTATTTAAGCCTTCTTCTTAGTAGACCGCGAGTGATTCCAACCCCGCCTGAAAACAAAATATACAAAAGAACTTGTCTTTCTGCTAAACGATGAGAGAAAATGTTCTTAATTTGGCACAGATTTTTTTTTTTGGCACTCTAGATTGAACTTTTCCCATTGTATGGGGAAATATCTCCTGTTAATTTCCATCTTTGACTTTAATATTGTAAAAGTAAAAGATTATTTTTTTATAAAATAAAATTTAGAAGAGCTGTATCCTATACAATAATAAGATGTGTTTTTGAGATCAAAGAATATTTATAGAAGTAATTATAAATTATATATTAAATTTTTTCATTAGTTGTAAAATTTAAATATATGATCTTATGAGTTTCTTTAAAGCAATCCCTTATTAACTGAAACAATATTTGTTGGCAGGGTAAATGATTATCATGTATCTCAATCGTGGTTGATTGTTACTATTCAATTTTTGCACAAAATGTGGCTATTTTAATTTGATCAAGCCCGCCCACATTTATCCTAAAATCTTGAACTATCCACGTCCTAATTTACAACCTATCCAAGGAAAAGTTGAGTACTAATATAGTATAATTATAATTATAACTTGTGAGATTTAGTTGGTGTGAACATCAAGACGTCCAGGATAACTAATTTCATAATAATGATATTCCAATCTGTTAAATTTAATATCCTGCTAATTGTGATTAAGTTCTTACTAATGTAGTTCTTCTACCTCAACGTCCAATTAGTTACTTAAAGTAGTTTTCCAATAATATTGCCACCAACCAAAACCAATAGCAGAACAGAGAATCTTTGCAAGCCAAGCTTTGCAGAAAAAATAAAGATACAACCAATGGAAGGGAACAGTAATGAAAACGGAGAAAAAAAGATAAAACTTAAAAGGAGGTAGAAAGTGGAATGGAAAGAAGTGGGAAAAGATGAGAAATCATGGAAAAGATAAGTGAAGGTATTGATAAAGGTTGGATCATACGGAGGACACTCACAAACGAACAGATTGAAGTGGACAATTGATATATAAGAACAGGACCACGGTGCAATGGTTTTAAGGGCTAGAGCTGGAAAGAGACAACTAGCCCACAACTATGTTGTTCCTATGTGGCTGTGAGCTGCAGCATTAGCTGTCTCCTCCAATACGTTGCTTTACTCACCATTTTTCATCCATCAAGAGAAATGTGGGTTTTTGTTTTTGTTTTAAAAAGCACGCTTAAATTGTATGTATGTCTGTTTCACTTCTCCCCTAACCCATTTTTTCCCGCAGATTTTGTAATAAAATAAAGAGAAAATCAATTATTTAATCAATGTAGTTTTGAGAGCCTAATCCCTCAACTTTGATTTGTTACAATTCATTACTTATAATTTTTTTATAAACAATTATTATAGTTTTGATTTAATTGTAATATAATCCCTAAATTTCAATTTGATATAATTTAATTTTTATAATTTTAACCATTTAATATATTGGTTCTTGAATTTTAGAAAATATGTATAAGGATTAAAGTTTTAAGGGTTAAGAGTCAATTTTACCCTTCAAGTATATGTGAAAGATTATTGGGAATTCTAAACTCAACTTAGGGTCATTTTGGCCCATCAAATTTAAAGATTCATTCCTTTAATGCTCTAGTGTTAATTTGCCTAATGTTTGTTAGTATGGATATCACTTTTTTTTAAATATTTTTTAATCATAAAATATTTCTCATGGGCCTGACATTACTATTTTAATATTTTTTTATCCTTTCTCTCCTCTCTCTCTCTCCCCCTCTCCCTCTCTCTACAACTCAATGGATCGTCGTATCCTCTTCTTTAGCATCTTCTTGTCTCTCTCTCCCTCTCTTTACAACTCATTACCTTTATGCATTGGAACTCTATCTTGGAGAGAGGCAGGTTAGGTTAGAACTCCAAACTCATCGTTGGTCTATGTGAGGTGGCCAAGAAGGTATGAAACCTGTGGAAGAAGATCACTATGAGCTAATATAGGCTGTAGTTGACATTTTGCATCTTCATCCCATTCTTTTCAGCAAATGATAGGCATCAACATCATCATGTTTTATGCTCTTGTGCTCTTCAAGACTTTAGGCTTTGGGGATGATGCCTCCTTTATGTCATTGATTATTATTGGTGTGGTCATCCTATTGAGCATGTATGTGTGATCCTACTAGCGGTGAAGTACGACGTGACAAGGTAGGGGTCGATAAACAAAAAGGAGGGTGACACCTTCTTATTCTAGAAAGAGATAAGCTCTTACTCTGTGGTTTCGACCTCTAATGTCATCTATGATAAAGTAGAGATGAGCACTGCTCCACGACCCCTCGAGTGAATGAGAGCTATGCTTGGTGGAAGACAAAGGCTAGAGAGAGAAAGGAGGAGGAGGGAGAGAGAGAGAACGTTCATAAACAATGCATGGTTATGGGCTTGTGGCTTGTTGATGCTGATGATGGTAGTGATGAGGTTATACCACTTGGCTCAAGATAAAGGAGGAAGAGGAGAATTGAGCCCTTATGCATGTAACATAACCCAAACTAAGGTGATAGTGTAGTTGTTAAAAATGAGGGACGGAGAGAAGTCAGTGATAGGAGCCAAAGATGTTGGCTGAGAAAGGGGGAGAGAGAGATGAGAACACTATGATAAATAAGAGGAGTTAGGTAGAGTTGGAAATTCGGGTGGGCCAGGCCTATTTAGACTTAGCCTGAATAAGCCTAACTTGAATAAACCCGAACCTAAGCAAGCCCGCTATCTTTATAAGCCTGAATTATTTTGGGCTTCGGGCTGGCCCAAATTCCTGTATTATATATCTTTTTTTGTTGTTGCGATTTTGATGATTTTTTTACCTAATTACATCAAAATAATAATCCAACATGTATTGATACTATTTTTTTAATCGTCCAAGCTAACAAAGCAAGTTCAGCATACTAGTTTAATATTCAAAAATAAATAATCCAACAAAATAACAACACATTCAACATGACATTAAAGTTAAGACATAACAATAATCAATAATACAAATCAAAGTCAAGCCAAATCCAAATCTTATGGCTCTTCCTGTTCCTTATCATCATCCAAAACTACATTTGCACTCTCAATGGCAGACAAATCCAAATTCGGATTTGGTTTAAGCGATTCCTCCTCTTCCTCCCCCTTCCCCTCCCCCTCTCCTTCTTCCTCTTTCACTACCTCTTCTCCCTCAATCCTCTCTTTCTCTTTACCATCTGCAACAAGACAACAACGGAAAAATTTTAAAATTATAATGGAATGAAATCAAATTTTACTTAATAATTATATAACAAAATAATCATATATTTTAAATTTAGATTACCATCATATTGAAAACTACTTAACCAATTACGAGTGTAAATAATAGCTTGAAAATTAAAAGGAAGAAGGATGCTCCAATATTTGGTGAGAACACGTGAGTCAATGCTAAAAGTCAATTCACTTGCCACTATAGTGATAGGAATGCTAAAAATATTGGCTGCCATCTTTGAAAGGATAGGAAATCTCCCCTTATTAGTGTTCCACCAATTGAGAACATTTAAATCTTGATATGCTTGGGGTTGAAGTGTTGCCTCATCTAAATAAAATTCAAGCTCAGACTTTCCAACAAACATAACATCCATGTTTGTATAATTAATCCAATCCTACGACATGTAAAAATTTAATAAAATACCAACTAATAAATTAAAATAAAATAATAAAATTAGTAATAATATGAAATTTAACTTACATCTAAAACTCCTGAAATATTGCTAGTCATGGTTGAAGTTGAAACACTAGAAGTAGTGGAGGATTGAGCTTGATTTGCTTTTATTGGAATTGTTGAACTTGATCCAAGATATGAGGAAAGAGCATCCATCTCTTTGTATTGATTAAAAATACATGTCAACTTGCTTTGAATGCTTTCAATCTTGGCAGTGCAATTTATAGGATCAATCCTTGCATACATGTACTATATCATTTGAATCTTCATTTACAGATCAAGCACAGTTGCAATTGCAAGGATAGTACTATAATCATTTCAATACTTGTTAAATTTTTCTTTCATTCTTTGAGCCATTTCTTGTATCATGAGATCACCATTTACCATGTTATCATCTAACAAGATCTGAATCTTTGATACTTGAGCGAAATACAAGTTCGAAGTGGGATAAGATGTCCCAGACATCAACCTTGTCATCACATCAAATAGCCTCAAGAAATTACACATCTCTTCTCCTCTCTTCCACTCTTCATATGTTGGGCAATGAGTGAAATTATTATCAACACATACAAAGCTAGTAAAAGCTTGATGGTATTGTAATCCACTATCAAGCATTACAAAAGTAGAATTTCATTTAGTGGGCACGTCCATCCTTAAGCCAATTGAACTATCAATGCCACCAACCTCTTTAACAGTTTTTTTTGAAAGCAATTGCTGTTGTCTCTGATTGTTTGACATACTTAACGCTATCTCTAATCTTGTTTAGAGTAGCATTTATCGCTTTTAAGCCCGCTTGAATTATTAAATTTAAGATATGGGTATAACACCTTTGATGAAAAAATTATCCATTACAAATCAACCCATTATCTTACAAAGCTAACCTTTGTTTTAAAATTTCTTGCATATTATCATTTGTAGAGGCATTATCTAAAGTGATAGAAAATACTTTTTTAGTAATCCCCTAATCAATTAAACAATCATAAACTTTTTTAGCTAATTCCTTTCTAGAATGTGGAGGCTCCATCTTACAAAAAGAAAGTATTTTACTATTTAATTTTTAATTTTCATCAACAAAATGAGTAGTCAAGCATAAATAACCTTCAGAGGCTATAGCAGTCCAACAATCAGATGTTAAACAAATTTTACCAATACATTTTAACAATCTTTGCTTCAATGCTTCTTTATGCCCTTGATAGACTTTTGTAACATCAGACACAACTATTTTTTAAGTAATGCACTTTACACTAAGATTCAACATTAAAGAATAGTACTTAAACTATTTATATTCAACTATGGAATAAGGCAAATTATGTTTAATTATCATCATAGATAAAACCTCTTGCACATATTTATCATTAAGCTTTATAGACCTCAGTTTTCCTTCGCTGTCCATCATCATCACTCCAATATCATGATACTTAGCAAGTTGGGGACAATTTTTAACATGTCATGGTAAATGAGATGTGCCATCAGCCCTAGATCCTGCTAGGTCTTTGTTACAACCATTACATCTAGCTTTTACTTTCCCATCAACTATAATTCTAGAAAATAACTTCCAAATATCAGATATACAAGTTTTTGATTTTTTAGCAACATGTAGCTTCACTTCTTTCTCAGAACTTATTCTTTTACTAGAATTACCAGAACCAACATATTTCTTACTTGCAGAGGCCATAGATTTCTTACTTACTGAAGTAGCTGATTTAATTACAGAGGCAAGTAATATTTTCTCATTGTTCTTTTGAGAGGGAAAAATATCAACTACTTTACCCCTACTATGCACATTATCATCTACCTTACTACTAGAACTACCACCCACATTTTCATTAGTTTTCTTCCTTTGACTAGAAGACATGTTTCACTGCATAAAATTGGAAATTAAACATCAATTTAACATACTATGCGTCTATGTCTTCATTAAAAGTTAAAACTAAGGCTTAAGATATTTAATTCCATATAACAACACAACCATTGAAATTCAAGCAAAGGCAATCTCAGATAGCTTAAAAACAAGCTTAAGTAAACACAACTAGAGCCAGACTCAGAGGCAAAGCTAGCTTAAAAATAACCTCAAGCAAACACAATCGAAGATTGCTCAAGCAATCAAGCAGATAATGAGCATGACATTAGATATCAAAATAGAGTAGAGATTTCAATCTTGAGCAATCAAACAGATCGAAACAAAGCAGGAGAGAAAAAGAAAGAAAAAGAGGAAGAAAACCTTGCCAGTAGGTTCTACCATTTTGGTCTGGACAAAGCTTGTTGTGTTAGGGGGTTCTGGTCTGGATGAAACTCATTCTACCAATGGGTTCTAATTTTTCTAGTTTGGATGAAGCTCAAGTGTGAGACAGTGAGAGATTGCGAGCGATCATGTAGTCTAAGAGAGATTGAGAATGTGACTATGTGAGTAGGAGTGACAGTCATTCATTAGTGAGGAAGAGTGCGATTGTGTGAGAGAGATTAAGAAACTAAAGAGTGAAGGCTGATGAAGTTTGGCGAGGAAGAGGAAGTAACGACTGCCGACGGGTCTGGTCTTCTTCTTCTACAGCCTTCAGAGTTTAGCTCTAGCGTAGTTTAGCATGAGGAAAAGCAAGACAATGAAGACGATCATTGGATTTAAAGATTTTGAATGTTCGATGGTTTGAAATAGAGAAAGCAATTTTAGGCTTTAGGATTTTTTTACTTCTTTAAATGCTCTTGCATCTTGCCTCTCAGTCTCAGCCTCTTAACTTAAGCATGCTGCTCCTCACGAACCTCACCTCACTCACTCATGCTCGACTGCTCCTGCTCATGACCTCGTGTCAGCGTGTGCAGTAGGCAGTTGGCTTTATTTTAAAAAAAATTAACAAAATGGGTGTTTGGGCCACCCGAATAGGCTCGAAATATTAGCTTTCTCCTAAAATGCTAAGCCTAACCCTAATTTTTTTGGGCTTGTTCAGGCTAACTTGTTAGGCTCGGGTCGAATTATCGACTCTAGAGTTAGGAGTTGCAGAGGGAGGAAATATGAAAATGCAACGTGAGGTTTACAAGTAATATTTTATAATAAAAATATTAAAAAATTCAAAAAGCGGGACCCACATGGACTAACATTGATGAATTAAATTTGAGGTGCTGGAAGAGGGAATATTTTAATTCAAGGGCAGAAATGACCCCAAGTTGCATTTAAGATCCTTAGTGATCCCTCACGTACACTTGAAGGGCAAAATTGACTTTTAACTTAGGTTTTAAATAGCCAAAATTATATGGATTGTATTGCATTGAATTAAAATTTAGAAATTGAGTTATAGTTAGATCAAACTATATACACTGAGTTACACTTAATCAAAATTTAAAAATCAAGTTATAATCAAGTTAAAACCAAAACTTAAGAAATTAATCTTACCTAAACTAAAATTTAAACTTTATGCTATGTGATGAGTTTTTTCTTTTAAAAGCTTTGAGATGATTATAGTGACAAGAAAATTGACTATATACTGATTAACTTAATATAAATAAAGGAATGTGATTGTAGATAGGAATTTGCAACTTAATATACTTCAATTTAGATTGGATTCTCTAGACTTACAGTTAGAGTTGAAAATACAGGCGGGTTCGGCCCTAAAGCTCGATTCTCTATTTTGAACCTCATTTCTCAAACCCGACCCTTATGTGAAGGGTTCAGGGCCGTGCCCGCAAGCCCTTTTTTAAAAAAATAAAAAAATAAAAATAAAATTAAACATTATAAATTAATTAAAATATTTTGAAATTAAAAAAATAAAATCCTCATAATTTTTTAAAAATTAAACAATACACATTTAAAAGTCTAGTAATAAAATTTAAATCTTGGTTGAAAAAATTCATTTTTTATAGATACATAAACATAATAATTATAGAAAAATAAAAAATATCAAGAATTTTATACTATATATTCAATTATATTAAATTAATTTTAGAATAAATTAAAATTAATAATAATATAATACATGTAGGATGCAGGTTATTAGCTTTAAATACGTGTTCCACCAAAGAAAATAAAAATAATAATAATATAATAGGGCTTGAAGGACTATCCGAACTCGAGTCCTTTTTTACAGGGCTTATCAGGGCCAAGCCCTCAAGCCCGATTACTTTAAAAAAAATTATTTTCAAAGCCCAAACCTTTATTTATACATGGCCTCCAAACTCGACCCTTCAGGCCCGATCCTTATTTCCAGCTTTACTTACAATACAATTACATATAATTACATATTTCAAATCATATCTTAGAGAAGGATAATGGGGACAAATATAAAGACAAAAGATCGTTTGTCTTTCAGCCGCCCAAAGGAAACTATTACAACCAATCAAAAGCTGCTCGAGAATTCACAGCCGGTGTACAAATATTTTTTAATGCAATGAAAGCTTCTCGAGGCTCTTTTAAGATTTGACGTCCTCATGACATTTTTAAACTACAAACATATGAACCAATATGCGTACATCAATCAGAAACCACCGGCAAAAGAACAGAATACACTACGAAAGTACGAAGTACCAAACCTTGGACATTCACAAACAAACAAAGAAAAAATGATATCTCGAAGGACTAAATTTTCATGTTGTCAACATAAATCACCGGTACATGAGCTATCTTGGGCCAATCCTCGCCAACATCTCTTCGGCATCTTGAACTCAGATGACGACACTGATCAATTTTCAAGACCTGAAGAGCACCAAGACACCTAAATTTATCTGGCAAACTCGTCAAGTTGGGGCAACCTATAATGTACACACGCATCAATAATGAGAGATTTTCAAGGCATTCAGGCAATCTCACGAGGCTGAGACAATCTGAAAGGTACAGATATTGCAGAGTGCACTTATAGCATTCAAGCTTTTCGGGTAGATACACCAACCGTGGAAGACCTTTGATGGTTAATGAGCGAAGATTATGAAGACCTTTTAGGCAATCCTCCAACGAACTTATCTTTTTACAGTTGATAATTTCCAGATTCTCTAGAGAAATGCAGTTTTCCTTTCCGTTTGCCAAGCAAGTTAATTTGCCACAGTTTTGAATACGCAATGTTCGTAGGGCTCTTAGGTGCTGGATCCCCTCAGACAAAGATACAAGATTATCACAATACACAATGGACAATGACCGAAGAGAGGTCAAACTCCCCAGTTGTTTCTCCCAAATAGGCATTCTAGGAGAGTTAATGACCAAATTTCTTAGCGAAACCAAGTTACTGAATTTTCTAGGGAATTTATTGATTTTCATACAACCTAACAACTTCAACGTCTGCAGAAAATGAAGCCCGCAAATGGAATCAGGAAGGTATTCAAGATCATGGTTACCATTCAGATTTAAATACCTCAGATGTTTCAGACAACCAAGGCAGTTGGGTAGATATCTTATGCCTGAATTACTTAAATCCAAAATGCGCAAGTAAGTTGAATCAGAGAGAAAGACACCCAGAATGGTTGATGATAGGGGTCCCAATTTGACAGGCAAAAGAAGTGACCTCAACTTTGATGCTTTTAGCGATAGAATTATATCTTCTTTGAGGCATTGACTATCCCAAAATGACACATGTCTTGGGCTTTCAAACATACCTGCACTATGAAAATCAACTTGCAAGCACTCTGACCCAGCTACTGATTTAGCAAGATCGTGCATTAGATCATGCATTCTGCATTTCACTATCTCAGCTTTGTGATTCTTTTGAACAACATCAAAAAGGGATCTGGACACTAATTCATCAAAATACCAACTTCCAACGTCTTCTAATTGCTCACATCCGCTAGCTGAATGAATTAAGCCTTGCGCCATCCACAATTGAATTACTGTTTCCTTATCGAAATCCTTGCCCTTGGGAAGTAACGAGCAATATGCAAAGCATTCTTTTAGATGGGAAGGCAATTGATCATAGCTTATCTTGAGCACTGGCAAAATATCATCTTCTCTTTTAGCTCTCTCCCAACTCTCATCATTTTTCACAGATAACCAATACGTTTCATTTGTATTCAAACACAGTAAGCTTCCAAGAGTACGTAGTGCTAGAGGCACTCCTCCGCACCTCTCCACTATCTCAGCACCAATTTTTATGAGATTAGGGTGCTTCATGCTTCCTCCCCCCAGAAATGCCCATCTGTCAAACAGATACCAGCTCGCATCAAAAGGCAAACTAGCTAAAGAAAGCAAATTCTCTCCACCCATGATTGATGCAGTAATTTTATATCGAGTTGTCACAATAATTTTGCTTCCTTTGACATCGGTTTTTAACAGGCGTCTCAATGTATCCCATTCCAAAGCATTTGCAATCCAAACATCGTCAAGTACAAGTAAAAACTTTTTCGCATCCAATGTTTGTGAAAGGTAATTACGCAAGTCATGCATATTCAGATGATCAAAATCAGCATTGCTTATAGCTTCGATAATTTTCTTTGCAACACATTCAACCTTCAAATCATCAGACACCTGTATCCAGAGCCTGGAATCAAAATACCCTTCAACCCAATCATCGTCAAATACACATTCAGCAAGTCTGGTCTTTCCCAAACCACCAATTCCATGAATAGGAATGACAGAAAGACTCTCATCATTATCCCTGGACAACTTATCAATGATTTCCTTTTTATCGTTTTCTCGCCCAATTATCCCTGTGACAGGCACAGAGTGGGATATTTTCTTCCTATTGGCAAGGATCTGATCATTATTCAGTGGCATCGTAAAGTGAGTAGAGTCAAACAAGCTTCTTTCCTCGTCTATCTGATGTAACCTCTCCGTAATTTTCCTAATTCGACGAGCCATCTCACCACAGAAGAAGAAGTTCTGTACCTGAGTGACTATGATAAATGGAGCCTCGACTTTCTGATTCAAAGCTTGTGCGGCCAAATCATCTAGCAAGTCTTTTGCATCGTTCAGAGCGTCTTTGAGCTTCCGCAACCAATCTTTAACTACATGGCTCTTCTCTTGCCGTTGTTCTGCATCAAGGAGGACGGCTGAAATGGAAGATAAATAACTGCGAAGCTTGTCTAGGTCATCTTTGAAGGACAAGGAGAGTCGAATCTCATCTAAAGCAAGGGAGGCCAATCTTCGCAGAATGGCATCTGTTGTGTTGCCTAGAATTTCCATTTGATTGCTAGATAATATAACAAGAACACAACGTCTGAATTCCGATCAGTGTGGTTATCGGCTTACCGCGAAGGAAAGCCCGTTGAAATGACAAAAACACTTTGTCATCAGTCATCACCATCTATCTCGATTTGCATTCGGCGCCGCGTGCTCGCTGTTCGAGTCCAAATCGATCCGTACATTTAAATTAATGTTTAAATATTTTTAATATATATTTATTAATATAAAACAATGTAATAAAATTTAAAATTTTTAGCATATATGTTCATGGGAAGATTTAATTTAACAATTCAATTTAATATTAAATTTTTTTATAATTTTATAATTTAACTATTCAGATATAATTTAAATAACTTAATTTTATATTAAAAAATTTATTTACAAATTAATCATTTAAATATAGTCTAAATAATTTAAATTTAATATTTAATTTTTTTATATGTTTTTATTTTAATAAATATAATATTAAAAATATTTAGAAATTAATTTAAATAGATATCAAGGATCAATTTAAATTGAAATAGGGGATCAGGATTGTTTTTGATCCTGGTGAGCGAGGACGCTATCTATCTGATGAATTTGGACAACCTCAAACACTGGCAGTCTAAATACAATATATTCGTCAGAATGGGCAAAAATGTCAAATACTATGGGCGCCTTGGTTTTCTTTCATTTCCTTTCTCCATGATAACACAATGCCTAACCACGAGTTATCGCTTCACCATTTAGGATGCAAGTGATTTATTTGTTAAAACTTTGGAATAAATTCTCTTAAATTTTACTGTGATTATACAACTTTCTTAAGTAAAAAGCATGTATAATTTATAACTCCTCATGCTTTGCCCAAAATACATCATTAGAATTGTTTTTATAGTGAGCGCTTTTTCGTAAAGAAAACTTTGATATTGGATTAAAATGTAATGGAATCTAATTTTCATCAAAATTCAAAGAAAATCTATATAATTCAATTCAAATTAAATTGAATAAGTCCATAAAATTCGAAGCATCAATCATCTCATCTCCTTGATAAATTAGGAATAAGTTGAGAGGTAAAAAGTACAACTAAAAATATTAAATTGAGCCCCCTTAAACTAGCTTGTAGCAAAGACAGAGTACCCTTGAGATTGGGAGTCACAAAGATTTTTTTTAAAATATATTAAAAAGATTTTATTCCTTAAATATAATGGAGAAAATTTAAGTTATAGAAGTACTTTAGAATATCTTACAATAGATTTTTTAATGGAGTATAAAAATTATAACCCAAAATTTCTATTTAAATTTCTTGTCTAGAATATTTAAAAATAATAATTTTAAAATTTAAAACCTTCACTACGAATGTTAATTTTTAAAAATTTGTTTAAATTTTTCTAAATAATAATTTCAAAATATTCTAAATGATAATTTTTTCCGAAGTTAATCTAAACAGGCAATAAAACAATATCTTACTTAAGAAGGATAAGAACAATCCCTTTGAAGCTCATATTATCCAATAACATGCACATCGTCATCATATAATTATTGTCACGAAACCTACAAGCACTAAGCAAGAAGGTAGAGAGGAAGTAAACACTAAATACACCAGCGTCAGGTCATAAAAATGCCTTGCCTTAAGCTTATACCAAGCATCTATATGAATACATACAGCTGGAGTTTTCCCACTTCCCAGGCTAATACAAATAGATAACAGAAACAGAAAAGGAATCAGGATAACACAGGACTACCTAAATCAAGATCAAAACAATACCATCGTATTTTTTTTTTTCTTTTTTGGAGCAGAAGAGAGGCCACTTTATTAATCAAAACAATACTGTCATATTATCTGAAGCAAACAACCCATCAACGATGGAAATATTGACAAGGAATTAGAGAGGCCCAGATGAGAGTGCCTTGTCTAGACTAGCAATAAGATCATTAACATCCTCAATTCCTACAGAAATACGCACAAGATCTTCAGTTAAACCTCTGGCCTCACGGACTGCGGCAGGTATGCCGGCATGGGTCATAAAGCAGGGCATGCTTATGAGGGACTTTACACTCCCTAACAAAACAAAATTCACAAGGTCAGCATTTTGCAGGAAAACATTCATAACTCTAACGTGTCAAAAAACATACATTTAAGCCTACTTTTTTGTTAGCAATTCAGAACTCCTTTATCAGAGTAAAGTGGGGAAATATTTACCAAAACTGACAGCTACGCTAAAGTATTTGGCATTTTCAACTACATGCTTTGAGAATGCCACTGAGCCTGTCAAAAAGCTAAGCACAGATCCTGCGCCCTTTGCCTGTGAAACAGGAACCCAATGAAATGAATATATAGAATCGTTTCAGGCATATCAGCAAAAATATTGAATCTCAGCAGGTAAACCATACCTGAGAGTAGTGCAGGTGATGTCCAGGATGACTAGGAAGACCAGCATAGTTTACTTTCTTAACTCGAGGATGGGAGGCCAGAAACTCAGCAATCTTTTGCGCACTCTCCTGCGAAATATGTTGGCTCTAACTTATTTTTATTATAACAATGTCAAGTTGTTATGTTATCACCTGTTTTTTTTTTTTTTTTGGCCAACAATTGTTATGTTATCACTGAAACTTTATAAGAGAAGCTTAGTTTTAGAGACTGATAGGGTAGAGGATAAAGAAGAGAAAAAGAAGAGAGAAACAAGATAGAAAACAGAAGAAAAATGGAAGGAAGATAAGAGACATGTTAAACTCTTTATATTAAGTATGCTTAAAAGTAGTCTACTTTACCAAAATCGTTTAAGCCATGGTTAGACACACCTTAAGTTTTATATATTCTTAATCTATCTTCTATTTTCTAGATGTGGGACTTTGATTTCTTTATGTCTAATATTCCTCCTACCATTTTTCCTTTTTCTTTTTCCTTCGATTTTTTTTTTTTCAATTTTTTCTTCTTGTTTGGGCTTGTACTCTTTTTTGGTCTCGGCCTTAGATCTATTCAATTTCTTCTTCTTCTCTCCTTCTTTTTAATCTCTTCTTTCTTTTCTTTTCTTTTTTTTCAATCTTTCATTCTTTCATTTTTCCCCTTTTTCTCGGTTTTTTTTTTTTAATTTTTTGGCCTCCAATTGAATGGCTCATCATACCATATTAAACTCTTCATATTAAATATAGTTGAAAGTAGTCTGCTTCACCAAATAACTTAAGCCATTTTGTTAGATACACCTAAAGCTTTATATATTCTTAATCTACCTTCTATCTTTCAGACGTAGAACTTTGATTTCTTCATCTCTAATATTTCTGGGTTTTCAATCAAGCATAACATCTAACTACACTCAGGACCTTATTCAGACCCTTATAGCAAATCCTAACAAACCAACTCCCTAACTAACTAGAACTATTTAATCTTTATTTCTTTATTTTCTGCATATCAGAGATATTATCTAATTATGAAATGCAGAGATTCAATACATCATTCAAAATTCATTACTTTATGCAAACCGTGCTGTACAGGAATATGATCATCCAGCAGGAGTATCAAGTAAAACCACATTATCTATCGGACAAGAGCAGTGACGGACCAAGAAATTGAAAATTAAAATTGTGAGGAGAACATATAAAAATATAACAAATTACTATAAAAAATATGAATATTATTACATCATAACTGTTCATAAGAATTTTCATATTTTAAAAAAATCAATCAATATTTGTCAAAACCATTAAAATCTCTATATGTGTAACAAAATTTCTTCATAATTACTATTTATGTTGATTCGTTTCATTTAATTATTTTGGACCTTGTGCTGTTTGAAAAAAAAATTCTTAATCTCTGTAATTTCTGTTCAATCTCCATGCAATTTCTACACAATACCGTTACCATGGAATCTCTGTGCAATCTATGTGTGATCTCTATGTAATCTCCATGCAAGCATATGGCGATGAGCTAGTATTGAATAAAAAGTTGAGCGGCATTATTTCTTACCAAAAAAGAAGTTGAGCGGTATTAAAAGCAATATTTTTAAATATTAGAGACAATTAATACATACCATACATCTAATGTTATAAAACATAAATTTTTTGTGGGGGCAATTGTCCCCACAAACTTCTCTGTAGATCCATCCCAAGACAGAAGGCCCAAGGAAGTGTTTGAATAAAAATAGCACAGATAAGCATGAAAGGATTATGAACAAACAAAAACATCAGTTCAGAACATTAACAAGTCTCTAAAAGTTTTCTTTATTTTCATTTATAAATATGTGTGTGTGTTTTATAAGTGGCCATGTAAGCTAACAAATTTATCAAATAGATTGCACTCGAGCTGAATAAATTCAATGGAAAACAACCATGCTGTGCATTCAGATAATCAGACATTACTGTCAGCCATTCATTAGACTCGAAACTAATAAGTAACTTAGAGCGTTTCATAAAGCACCTGTTGCTTCTCAACTCGCAGTTCCATTGTTTTGATCTCTTGCAGACAGAGCCAACAGTCAAATGGAGCTAAGCCTGAACCCGCTGCATTTTGTAATAAATACAACTCTTTTGCCAACCTTTACATGAAGATGATCAAAGGCAAAAAATGAAGGATAATGCAGAGTACTGATCCACATTATTAATTATCAATTGAACAAAAAAAAAAAAGAATAAAACAGATGAAAAATGAAATTCAATATACAATAAGAAACGCTGAATAGTTTGTGGCAGAATAACAAACTTGACACATGAACATTGGCTCAGACAAGGCTATTTGAAAACAGGGAATAATGCAAGAAAGAGCAATGAGAGTATCATTTCATTCTCAATAATAAGGATCACAAGCACAAAAATGCTATGCATCACATTCTCATACTCAAATGCAAAATTTGCCATGGTATATAATTCACGGATTGACAACAATGGCTCAAACAATTCAATGTCTTCAACATCCTAAGTGTTTAGGACACAGAGAATAGGAGCTGCGACCTTTCACATTTCACGGCAAGGACGCCAGCAATGATAGCACTATGTCCGCCAATAAATTTGGTAGCTGAATGCATGACAATATCTGGAAAGGAAAAGGGAAAAAAATAGCTGTTGTCACTTGACAGAAATTTCTTTTCCCATTATTTTTGGACGTGTAACACATATAGGGTGTTCTAAACAAGTTCCTAGGGTGATAAAGGGAGTTAAAAAAATTCATTTGCCCTCAAGAATTGCTTCAATTCATTCCCACACAAAAAGTGAAAAAAATTCGAGTATGAAGTGTCACAACTGGCAACCCAAAATCTAAGTCGCAACCAGCACATAGGCTAAGCTAATTTAAACTAATTACAACTCTCACACGAAAGAATCTCATAACAATATAAATTATTTTTTGCCCAAATTTTAACCATTCATGTTAGATTCAAGTGTCAAAAAAATGATAAATCAAATTAGAACACAAGCTTTGTATGAAACCATGGCTATTTATTTGACAACATTACATCTTCACTCGAACACCACCATAGTAGTTACAACGTCTTAGAATCCCATAACACCATCCAACTATCAGACACTAATCATAACACTAGATTCCGAGACATGGATTAGGAGTTACAAGCTTCCTACACGTAATCTGTGCTGGCCAGAGACACAATTACAAACAACATTCTACTACTTCCTCATCCTGTGACTACCATAACCCAGACGTGACCTAGCTTAGTCAGACTGTCACCAACTTGTCATGACCCAAAATCTGAGTCATGACTGACATATAGGCTGAGCTAATATATTTCCACTTAGCCTAGCAAGCCTAAAAATATTATACCTCTCCCACAAGATATCTCAATAAAACGCAACTTTTCCTTACTCAACATTTCACCATTCATAACAAAATTCAATTTTCAAAATGAGACCACAATTTAAACAGGGAATAGCTTTGTACTCGTGAGACCAAGATAATCAACGTAGGAAAGATTAACAAATCATTTTTCCTAAGTCACAAACTAGGCAACTATTAATAGGAAATAGAAGCAAAGTAGCCACACTTTCGTGCCAGCTAGAATTGCATCAAAGCCAGCTATAAGCCTAGAGTCGAAGACAGATGGTAAAGTATTTTGAGTAGTTGATCTCACGTGCTATCCAAAAGTCTTCTTAGTCTTCGTTTGCTCTCAATGAGTCAATGTCGAGAATATGCTCTTAATTAAATAGAAATCCCATCAGTCATTAGAAAACTCGGAGTTGAAAAATACTAAGCTTTTTGCCTTGACCTTGACACTAGTCTTGGCCTTTCCTAGGGCACCTTTCCTTGGCTTGGCCTTTCCTAGGAATGTGGAAGGTGCTCATAAAGTTGTGCCCTGTTTAAATTGTAGTCTCATTTTGAAAATTGAACTTTGTTATGAATATTGAAAAGTTGAGTAAGGAAACGTTACATGTTATTGAGATATTTTGTGGGAGAGGTATAATATTTTCAAGCTTTACTAGGGTAAGTGGAAATATATTAGCTCAGCCTATAAATCAGTCACAACTCTGATTGTAGGTAGTGACATGAAGAGACCAAATGTTCATCCTCAGACCTTCTAAGCACTCCCCCATTGCTAGTTCATGTTAACAAGCATGTTATTAAGTTGTTAAATCTAGCCATACTTCATTATCTTGCAAGAGCGATAGGAATACCTGCTCCAAGTTCCAATGGCTGACACAAGACAGGAGACATCATGGTATTGTCTACCAATAGAAGAGCACCATGTGCATGAGCCATCTCTGCCATTTTCTGGACATGAACCAAGAAAATGAAAAAAGTTTTATAACATTGAGTCAAACCATTAAATAGAATTCCATGCTACAGGTTCATATCATATTATTGACCCTATATTGTCAAGGCAATTAGAAGAGAGAGAGAAGAATAAGTTGAGTAAATATAGGATGGTGAGTCCAGTGCGAGAGAAAAGTGGTATGTCGTTTGTGCACATAGCTACTGTATTGAGAATAATTACATCAAAGACAAGTGACAAACAGGAAAATCCAAGAAACCTCTCTAGCTAGAAAATTGAGACCAGTCACATCACTAACATCTAAAATAATGACAACAGTAACAACCAAGTTTACTCAGAATGACAAAAGAAATTGCATGGAGTTGAACTTTCTACATTAGCAACCAAAGGCATTGCCTTGGCAAATAATTGAAGTTCCTTTTAAGTTGCTTGTTCCTCATAACAGCTCAAGAGAAGTCCAAAAAGCCAAAAACAAGAACAGAAACAGGACACTTCCAACCTACAAAAGAAAGCAACTTACTCGAATATCAGGTATTTGTATCTGAGGATTGGTGGGATTCTCTACCCACACCAACTTAGTCCAAGGTCCAATAGCAGAGGCCACCTCCTCTAGATTACTTGCATTTACTTGTCTGCGCATGCAATCATTAAAACCATATCATCAGTGAAACCTACGCTTCTTGGAATGAATCCACCAATAATTTATTTTCACATCCATTTCTCCATAGGAAGAAAATATCCAAAAAGCTGAAAAACCACACTTACTTCACTATGACTTCAGACTTTGGAATTATTTGGGACAATAGTCTATCTGAACCACCATAGAGATCATCTCCAGCAACAATTTCTTCACCTACATTGAGATTATATAAGTAAGTGACAATAAAAGCAGCCATTTCAGCATACATAATCTCCAATGAAAAAAATAATGAAAATAAAATTATATATATTAGAGCATGTGAAAAGTTTATTGGAAAAATGTATATATTCGCAAACACTTAGATATTATAATCTCAGGCCCTAATAAATACTTGAATTATCTGAATGTCATCTCTAGCATAGTAATAAAAAAATGAAGATGTATGTTAAAAATCATTTGATATCAATATTTAAAGGGAAAAAGATTTAACAATTTAAACGCTTGAAATTTTTTTAAAAAACTGACTTTCCTTTTTTTTTTTTTTTCCAGAAAAATTGACTTTCTTTCATTGTTCTTCTATGTACTAGCCTGTTGCACATAATACTTGAAGTAAATATATTTACAGGCAGACTTCAAAATTAACTTTTCAGACTAAAAAATGCTAAGTCTACTATTGATTATGATGAAGATTTTGGTTGATTGACTGTTGACTGTGATTGATTATATTTGATTAGAATTGGTTGTACAAAATTGAAGAGGTTTAATTTTGTAATTATTCTGTGTTTATTAGCCATTATTACGTTGTATCCTACCTTAAATAATAGGCCCCTGTAAGTCAGATAACACACTGACTACTTTTCCCTTATGTTCTCTCTTTTCTCATACTCTCTCAGACTCAAGTCATCAACTCACATGCTAGGAGGTGCACTGAATTCCTCAATTTGCAATCCATTAAATATTCGCAAAAATACACAAAACCAAAGGACAATTCATTCAACTAATATTAGTAAAATGCATACTTGCTTGCACTATTTTACAAGCTGAGTTACAAAAGCAAAAAAGATCATGAGGAAATGCACCAGTTCCAACGAGCTGACTAACAGCATTCAGAGCAGCCATTCCACTGCTGAAGCAAAAGGCTCTATCTGCTTTGTCAAGCTTCGCGAGTAACCTAAGAATAAAAAAATATGCTGAGTAAAAGAGGATGGAAAGAAGTGATAGATATAGACAAAATCAGACAACAAATCAGGTCAAACCTTTCCAAAACATCTCGGGTAGGATTTCCACTTCTAGTATAGTCATAAGGGCCATTTTTTGTTGCAGAAGGCTGCATGAATAAAGTATAGAAGACAAGTGCAATATGAAAAGATTAAAATATATATATATATATATCATGGAATAGAGATACTGAATAGTAAATACACAGTTACTAAAGAGCTCAGCACGTACAGATCAAATTTTCACCTGCTTAAAAGTAGCAGTTTGGTAAATTGGCGTACTCATTGCTCCATAAGGATCAAACTCATTATCGAAATTCAGTAAAACTGTAGAAAGGGAAGGCTCGCTGGTCCGTTCTTCTGCAAATAGAAGCTAAAACTATTTACATATAAAACTAAAATCATTCATACAGTATCAACACAAGAAAAACCGCACAAACCACTTGGGCACTCTGTAATACTGTCCGCCAAAATCGATGTGCTCACATTTGTATCCCTATCTATTGAACAATTCAGTGTGAACACCTTCAGTCGGTTTGACTTCGAACTGGGCGACTTGTTAAATCCCAATCTCTCCCACGCATAGCCAGCAGTTGTAGTCTAAAACACAATAATGAGAAAGGTAATCATTATGCGCACAGACTACAATAGGAATTTTAATTTTATCAAGGTCCTGTATATCCTCTTCATAAACGTACGGTACAAAAATCAAACCTTCCCAGCATCTGGAATATTATCACGGCAGTTATACCTACAATAACTACGAGAAGAATATATTTTTTTGGTAAAGATGCCAACAACTCAGCGAATAGCAGCGCTTTACATTTCACGTTTCTCGCCCAAAAATTATATAAGGTGCATTAAGTGTTTAACTCAATGATCATTGTTACCTTCGCGTGGAGATCAATAGCGACTGGAGTAACGAAAGGCCTGAGAAAAGCAGAGGCCAAAGCCATCACTGAAGATCAAGAAAGCGCTATGTTTCACTCACGCTCTTCAGGCTGCGGATTATGCAGTCCCCGTTGACCTTAGCATCAATTTCCCGGGCTTCTCCGCTCATCACCCTCGTTTCAGCCCTTCAAGCCATCCATGACAACACAGAGCATCACGTCATACACGGCCTCACACTATCATAAAAAAACAGTTCAGACTTCAGAGCCAACACAAGGCAGTCAGGTACCAATATCCAGTAATCCAATCATGCAAAGTACCAATTCAGAACGAATAGAGCATATACGAAGCTTGTTCGATTAATTCAAATTGCAAAGCTTCCCGGTCTGATAAGCTTGCTTATAGGTGGAAAAGGAAGCATCTCTTTCAAGATGGAAACAACAAAGGAAAAGGAGAAATAGGAATGAAGAAGATGAAAGTAGATCATGGAGGAAGAAGATAGACAAAGAAGTTGGTGGAAGAAGACGACGCACCTGATTCCGGCGATGGCTAAAATTCTTTGTGGTAGCAAGCGACGGCGGACGACGCCTGTGGAGGAAATAAGCGACGATAATGCCGAGGGAGAGCACAGGGAAGTTTCAGTTCGGGGCTGAAGAGGGGGAGGAGTGTGAAATAGTATATGTTGTGTTATGTCCTTCTTCGGTCTTATTTATGCAGTGTCGTGTCTCGTCTATTTTGATGGAATGCTCAAAACTTCCTTACATCACTACATCAACACACAACCGTATCTAGACGCCATTCGTGACGGGGGAATAGGGTTGGGAAGGATAACAATAATAATTAATGTTTCATGAAAAAAAAATAACAAATTAATAATTATATCCTTTAAATTTAAGTTATCTTTATCATCGTGGAGAGCGATTTGTATGCTGGCTAATGTTGCTTTGCCTTGCAGAATAACAAGACATCTGTTCGTCAACTTCAGAGAGTCCACTCTCTCGTGCGAGATTTAGGCCAAGCATGTGATTTGAGAGCGCAATATGTTTGTTGACGGGCTTGCTGAACAAAGCAACCTGAATCTTGTAAGATTTTAGTCGGAGTTCCTTCTCAGCTTTGGTGTTTCTCAGTCTCACCATTGCATGACTATTAATTAATATTCCCTTGGTACATTTATTAGTAACTTCTTCCCATATATTACACCAAAACTAAAAAAAAAAATATCTTAAAATTTGTTAACTTTATCTTAAAATTTAATAAATTTTTAAATTTATTTTTTTAAATATATATATTTTAATAACATTTTTTCACTTTAATATTCAGCTGAAGATAGAAGAAAACATTTGTTTTAAAAATTTAAATTTAATAAAGAGACTTATAAATATGATAAAAACCCTCTTTTATAAATAGAATCAACAAGAGTAAAAAGTAAAGAGTATGGGCTTTACCCCATTTTTATGCAAAAATTACTCCCCCGTTTAAAAATGTAAGATATTTTTAACCAAATCTCACCTCCAATAAAGTAGTTACCTACTTTTCAACTAACCTATCTTTTTATATTTATCCCTATTAAACACCTTTTCATAAATATAAAGTCATTATCAATGAAGCACTTTTGAAAAAAAGCAATAATTACACATTAAAAGACTAAAAATGCCTTATATTTTTTAACGAAGGGAGTATTTTTTTTACAAATGAGGATTGTTTAGGTTTTAAGATTTTGACACCATGATTAAAAAATGCAATAAACAATAAATAACTTAACAAACTGTGTAGTTTTTTTTTTGTAAGTGTGTTATCCTTTTTTTTAATTTTTTCCTGTGATTGCGCCATATTTAAAAATGTTAGGTTAATTATTTATTAAGGATAAAATTTGGAAAAAAATTGTTTATTTATTTGACTCATAAGTGTTTAACTTTATTGCTTTATTGCTTATATTTTTTTGACAACATGAATAAGTGATCAATAAGTGAAGAACAACAACTACAAGTTACTTGTATGTTTTTGGTTTGAAAAAATAAAAATACTATTTTTTATATTTTAAAAGTTCTCCTGTTAAATTAACTTCAATTCAAAGTGACTATAGTGTTTGTGGTGGTGTCTTGAAAGATTCAAATGAAAGCTGGATTCAAGACTTCAATCAAAGGTTGGGCACTATTCTAGCTACCATTTCTGAAGTTTATGAAATCTTTAAGGGCTTGAATTATGTTGGCCAAATAGATTCAGGACAGTGGATGATTTTTTTAATTGAACGCATGCTATTGACAATTACAAAGAACAATCATAATTATTATCATTTTCATAATATTATTGATTATACGAAGCAGCTTTTGTGTAAGAATTTAATTGTATGTATGAAGAGGATAAGATCACGGGCTGTTTATTTAGCCAAGTTAGCTTACATCTCCCTGATGACTTCAACCCTTTTGACCTCCCACCTGTCTAGTTTAGTCTCTTGGGTGGTTGATGGTTTGTTGGTCTTTGTCGTTTATTTCCTTTGCCTTGTTCACTTTATGTTGAATGAGATTCCAGTTCATAGCCCCAAAAAGAGAGAAAGAGAGAACCCTTCAACTAGACTCATATTTTGAGCAGGAACAAATATTTTTGTAAAAATTTTCCACAAAATCTAGTAATCATGGAAAAAAAAGAAAAGAAGTTCCAGAGATGGGAGTGGGAGTTATTTTTATAATTTTGAAGTCTGCCAATGATTTTAAGCAAAATCTCACAACTATAAATGCACGCTGAGTTTAATGGTCTGAGCATTTTGTTTACAATTTTTTTTTTTGGGTATTCTTGTCGAGGACCGATACCATGTCAAGAATGACATACGGTTTGTATAAAGTTAAGTTTACATTTTTTTTTCCCCAATAGGCATTCAAGATATGCGTATGTCACCTCTAACATGGTATAGAGGAAATACAATATAAATAAAGGACTGTGCAAAAATCTCATAATTTGTTTCAACTCGGTCCAATTTATGAAACTCGATCCAGTCTGATCCTATAAACATTGATCCTGTGGGATCAAAAAGACAATACTATTTTTTCAAATAAAACCAGACTAGAGACCAAGTGGTCCAATCTCATTCTACGTAATTATTTTAATATAATTAAAATTAATTCATGAATTATTAATTAATAAGTCTTACACGAGATAAGTCCCTCCCCTATGGGTCACTCACATTCTCACACGCATTGGAGCTTCTCTCAATCTCTCATTCTCACATAGACATAAATGATGCCTTAGCATCTATAGCTGCTCTTTGCTAGTGCGCTACTATCGTCAATCAAGTTGGTCGTCACCTCTCGCCTTTGATTCATCGTCGAGCACGTCGCACCATCACCCTACCCGTGCCTTCCATCACCCTTGACCTCTGATTCATTGTCGAGCACTCCAGGTATGTTCGCACTGGGTTTCTTGATTGTTTCTGATTCTCATTTTTGCAGGAACTCAGCAATTCTAATTTCATTCCATGTTAAAAGACGTCTTAAGCCACCTTTCAAGTTTTTTTCCCTTCCTGAAGCTTTATTGTTGTGTTAATCTACATTGTCCAGAACTTGGCCATTCTAATCTACATTGTCACAGAGGTTTTGTTGATATCTCAACCTAGAATTAGTAGACTAATTGGCATGAAAAATGTTGATATAAATGACATGAAAAATGTGGTAGATATAAAGGACATGAGAAACGTGATTATGTTTAAAATCCATCGCAGCATGAATTTAATTTTTGATACTTTTGTAAATTAATTGTTGCCATTCAATCAAAAGTAATTTAAGAAACCAGAACTAGGCACTATGTAGGAATTTATCTCATTTTGTGCAACAAAGGAAGCTACTTGATCCTACAACTTATTTTTATCTCAAAAACAAATATCGGGTGGGTTATAACAAATATTTTTTTGAGGAAGCTTTGTTTCAGGTTAACTCTCATAACTCGTGTAAATTGAATGTAAATTCTAGTCACAAGATAATTAGAAAAAATGTTCAAACATTAAATTGGTTGTATGTTCCCCATTGTGTTTCATTGTGGCCTATTGGAATTTGTAGGCGATGATAGCTTTGATTTAATTGATGAAATAAAAAAGAAAAAAAAGGAAGAAACTTGGTGAACATTTTGCATCTTGTTTAAGGTCTATGGGCCATAGTGAGGCTATTTTGTTTAATAAATGCAAAAAAAAAAATTATTTCTCACATAAATGGTAGTGAATGAAATCAATTTATATGAGTGAAGATACAAAAAAAGATTCTTGTTAGAAGTTTAGAATGTGATGTCATGTGATTCACTTGGAAGAAGTCTCCTTATTTAATTTGACATCTACATATATTACTTTAATTGAGTTTATTGAGTTAAAATATATTATTGCCTCTCATGGAAAAAAAAAAGCTAAGTATTAATTAATAGGATCAGTTTTTCAATTTTAAGGACTAAGTCCAATCTTGTTAATATTTAAATCATTACTGGACCAGATTGAACTACCGATTGTGTAACTTAATTCTTTTTGTGAAAGGGACTAGACTTTGAGTTAAGTTGAAGTTCAATCCTTCGTGTAGCCCTTACAATATGTAAAAACATTAAACAACATACTTGAAATCAATATTTAAAAAAAAACTTTAATAATATTATGTAAAAACATTAAACAACATACTTGAAATCAATATTTTAAAAAAAACTTTAATAATATAATGCTTGATTTGTACTTAATAATATAAATATAAATATAAATATATCTGACTAACTTCTTTTGCCTGTAATACCTAATTACATCTAATCTAAATTCAAGGAAAACATATTTACCATTACAATTTACAAGCTAGTGATGTGAGTGGGTCCTTAATGCCCATTTGGCTTACCTACATGTTATATTTAAAAAGGACTTTTCAAAGTTTAAAAATGTTAAAGTTGTTTAATTTTTTCAAATTATTTTTAAAGTTCATTTAAAAATACATTAAAAAAATTCAAATTCCATTTCTTGAACTTAATTTTGAATAGTTTTTTAAAAATATTTTATATAATTTTGTCATCAATTAATTCTCACTCTTATATTTTCACTTAATAATTATCATAATTTAAATAATTTTTAATTTATCAAGTCAATTTCTTTTAAAAAAATATTTAAATATAAATTTTATCATAATAATTAATTTTTATTAAATTAATTTTGACCAAGTAGACTTTCAATTAAGGAACTTTCAGCAAACTGAAAAATAAAGCACACTATTTACAGGCTAGCTTCGAAATTTACTTTTCAGGCTAAAAACGAGGAGTTTACTGTTGATTATATGAGGATTTTGGTTGATTGACTGTTGATTATGACTGACTGCCTTCGAAGACGAAACTATCGATTCCAGAGAGCAAGGGGGCGGAACTCCGGGGGTGGGAAGAGAGCGGGTGATGGCATCGAGCTTGCAGAAGATCGAAGGGGATGATTCAGTTTTGTTGCGCGTCACCCATTCAAATATCAAGACTTTCTCCTCCGACATTCGATTCTCGCAGCAGGTGTGTGTCACTTTACGAACTTTTTGCCATCCACGCTTCCCTATCAAATTCTTCTTTGTTTTCCGCGATTTGAAAGTTACTCACTTGTTTCGTAGATGTCTGTCGAATCAGTAAAAGAGAAGCTCTGGAAAAAATGCGGCACGTCAGTGAACTCGATGCACCTCGAGCTCTATGACGACACAAACTACAAAATTTCCGATCTCGCCGACAATTCCAGACCCCTGGGTTTCTACTCGCCTCTGAATGGGTTCGTATATATATTTTATCATCCCCCCCTTACTGTCATTTAGCGATGATATAAAATAAAGCGCAAGCCAAATTTGTTGCAGTCACACCTCGTATATGTACTAAGTTACTTTTTTTTTTTTGGAGTTGCTCTATGTTAACTGCGTCGGACTGCAGGGTTGATGTCGCCCTGCTGCCACCTTTAGTAGAGTTCTTTGTTCAATCTGTTGCAGGACTATGCGTGCGCTCCATCTAGCGATCCTTCCGTAGCGGTTTGCTCCAGTTCTCAAGTTCTGGTGTCACCTTTTACTGTGTTTTTTTGGGGACAAGGTTCAAAATATGAGAGCTTCAAGTGTTTTTCTTTTTCAACTGTTATGGTCTTGTATGCCGCAGCATCCTAGGTCCTTCATTTGTCAAAATGCATGCAACATTGCTTTGAGAAATATGTTGCTTTATTGTTGTTCATGTCTGCTATCTATGTAATTCACAAAAGCAGCTTTTTGTTGTTTTCTTACACCTTCCTTCCTCTCTTTCCTTTTTGGTGCTAGTCCTTTAGGTTGTCAAAAGTACAGCATAGATATTTGATTTATAGATCTAATTGGCTTCTATGCATTTGCTTCTGGGGTAGGTTTCGTTTGCATGTTATAGATCTTGATCCATCATCTGTCACGTCTGGTGGTTGGCTGGAAGATACTTCATTGGTGGAGAAATACACGATTTCTGAAGAAGCTTATAATAAGCGTCAAGGCATGTCATCTTATCCATTCCCCCTCTCTTGAATTTGAGGTGGAAACAGACATTTGTTCCATCGACTTTTGACATTAAATTGTTCATTAGAATTAGATGGTTATTTGTCTTTACACTTGCATTCAAAGCTGGGTAAATGCATTTTGTTTTTACCCATAAACAGGCTAGATTATGACAAAGATGAGTAGTTGATAATGCATTCTCTACAGAGGTTTTTATTGGTTTGACTTGTATCTTTTCTTTCTAAATGATCAGTTTTATCTTTTCTTTCTAAATGATCAGTTTTGTTTCCTTCTTATCATTTCAAACATTTGTGCTGGAAAGTACTACAGTGATGTTCTTGCAGGTCTGCTATTGGATATGTTTGTTTTGATCGGCTCAATGTAGAGTTGCTCAAAAGTTCTTCCAGATTTCTTATTAAAAAAGGATTCCATATTAAAATTATGTATAAATTCAGCTACCAAGAAAGTAATGGCCATTGCTTAATATTTGGGTCATATTCTGTGTGATATTTATTTGTTCTTTAGATATACGTTTTCATAACCATTTTCTTTTTAGTAAAAGTTCAGCTTTCATCCAAAGAATTTACTACGTATGTGTATTTATGTTAGACTTGGTTGCCATGGAGATAGTCGAATACAAGATGAAAAATATACTGCCTGTCAAGAAGTTTTGATATGGAAATTATTCCATAAATATTTATAAATAGTTTGTGATGTGTGTTTTTATATTGCTTTTCTCAGGAACTTTTAGAAAATTCAAAGAGAAATTGTCTTCCCAAAATCAATCAGCTGTTGCAGCAAAGGTAAGTGTTTGGTTCATTTATCTCTCTTATATGTTGTTGAAATGTTCTCCAAGAGTTATTTTCATGTTTAACATAAAGATAGAAGACTGCATTAGAGTTCTACGTGTTCATTAACTAAAATAGATCATACGCAATCTAGATAATTATCTGATACTTTCAATGATTGGCCATTTCATTGCACAGGTGCCAGACACCTCTGTGGAAGGCCTATGTTCAAACATTAAGGTCAGTCAATCATGTCTCTTTTTTTCTCTTCAGTTTTCTATTGATCACAACTGCTTTATAGAATTTGTAGTCTGAGATGAACATTAGCATATGGATGTGCTGATGTGGCAAGGGAAAATAGATGGAGTATAAGAGTTGGCTATTGATTGGTTAAGTGTAGTATTTTGACTATTCTCTCATTTATTATCTTGTATAATAACGGCAGAGACCAAATCAACTATACTATTTTTGTTATTTTTGTTAAGACAACAGTTGATATAATTGTTGAATGACTTGTTAGGGTAGAGTTTAATGAACTTAGAAATTCTATGAGCACACGCACTTCCTATGATATCTCGTTACCAATTATTAAAAATTTTGCTAATCATCTACTGCTTGTCATGTTAACCAGAGAGTTAATGACTAATAAGATCAACAGCTAGCTGTATGCTGTAGCTATTGTTGTTTGAATTGTGTAAATATTTTTGAATCACACTTTGTTGGATGTGCGTTTTCCTTTGGACACATCAATTCTTGCATGTCTTCCTTTTTCTGATAGATGCATATTTTCCCCTTTATTCTCTTTCTCCAAACAGTTATAAATTGTGCATTTTCTCATTATCCAAGTCTGTCGAATCATTTATTTAGTAAAATATTGACAATAATGATGTTCTACTCCTCTCTTGAATTTATAAATATTAAGGTAGGTTCCAGATGTGAAGTTGAACCTGGGGAGAAAAGGGGTGTAGTAAAATTTGTTGGCCAGGCAGACGCATTGGGTCCTGGTTTGTGGGTTGGAGTACAGTACGATGAACCCTTGGGCAAGCATGATGGCATGTAAGGCCTCTTTCTTTGTGTATCATATGTAAACATCTCTACGCTTAAGCGTAGCTTTTGAATTTGCTTCTGTAGATTATTTCTCCCTCAAGTATATCAGTTTACTCGTTAGCATCCTATCAACTTCATATTTCCTGAACAAAATTGTAAATATTTGAAGTTTTTTTCAGGATTGAACTCTTTTTTTTTTTTTCTCTTTTATATATTAGAAAGACTTATAAATACATAGTGGAAAGAGATAGCTACGACGCCAGCCATTCAATCCCAGAATTCAGAGAGCATATAGTCTTAACTCTAAAATTTAACCATCAAGTGATGCATGCTAAATGTAGAAGTTTTATTCCATCCATATGACGCTTCGCACATTTACATATCACCTATTTGTACCAATACCCTAACTAACTAGCTTCCTTTACCCCCTTAACTACTATTAACCCCACATAAAAATGCTCCCTCCTCAAATTGATCATACACTCATACTTCCTCCTGGTAAAAACTTTGATGTGCAAAACTTCCAAACTGCCTGAAAGTATGGCTTTGGTCTATGCAACTTCAAGGATGTTGTGACTAGGTTGAGGTTTGGTTTATGTGGCACAAGCTGGAGGTGACGAACAAAGCAATCTTGTGGCCTCAAGTTGGTACTTTGAAAAAAAATTGTGTGTTTGATTTAGATCCTTATAAAGTAGTGTACAAAAAATTAATTGTCAATATTTGCTTGATTGGAAAAAGAGAATTATGGATTTTTTTTTTATTTTTGTGAATTAACATGACCATCAATCAGGAATCTTAATCGTAATTCCTGAATAAATTCGAATGAAACTCTTGCTTTTTTAGTGGTGGAACTGGATCACCCGAGGAGTCTCTTTTTTGGGTTGCATACTTCCTGTTGAAGTGCAACATTTTGCCTTTTGATAATATTCATGTTTCAGTTGCGAAACACAAGTTTGATGATAATTTTCTTTTATTGTGTCCTTTGTGGCTTGAACATGTGATTACAGCGATCATGTTGCTGGCACATCAATCTAATATAAATGTATATGAGCCTCTCTTTTGTTTGGACCAACGTATGAACCTCTCCCCTTGTTTCAAGTAAACCATGAACTTTCCTAATCCTTTGTTTAAACTTTCAGCATAACATGAGCTATGCTTATTTCTCGAATTACTCAGATCTACCTTGACAATTTTGATATTGGATTCTTCTTGTATGTCATTTCACTTGTTATCGTTCTAGAATCTCTTTTACACAGCAATATCTATTTTCATTTCGTCAACATATTAATGTTGTTTAGACCATTTTTTTTCATTGTATTTAATGCCCATACAATGTTGGCTCCTATTATTTTGTAGCATGACGTTATTTGTCTGTCTAATGTTATGGCCGTACCTACATGTCTTTTGATGTCTCTCGGTTATGTTGTAGGGTGAAGGGAGTACGCTACTTCGAATGCCCTCCATCTCATGGTGCAATGGTTAGATCAGAGAAAGTAAAGGTTTGTTTAGAACCATGTTGTAGTGAATTGACTAGTGCATGAAGTTATTCGTTACCAATTACGTTTTATTCTTGTACACAAGTCATATTGACTAGTAAAGTTTGAAAACGAGTCGTATTATTTATGATTTGTTAGTGTCACCTGCTATAATTCTTTGTTTAGCCAATAATGCGCTAAAAGTTATATTTTTTAATTGATTATTGACGATTTTGATGTTTTTGACCTGATGAAATAGAGTTGCCTTTGACTGAGGTCTCTGTTTGGTTTCAAAACGTCTGAGGTCTTGGGACAAGAGTTTCTTATGATCACTAATGCTGATTTTGAACTGGGTTACTTTAGGCTTAATACTTAAATTTTATTGGATCGGTAAATTAGAGAAGGTTAAATTGCCTGTTCAATCTGTTGTCTTATGAAGTGTGTTTTTAATCTGAAATTCAAGATAAGTATAGGTTAGTATCCTCACAGAAATAAGTGATCTGCACTCCAATGACATGCTTTTGTTTGAGATTTAAAAAAAAAAAAATTATGGCCCAGATGCTTTAGTCCGAGATTTTAATATATAAATATCCCTTTTCAGGTTGGTGACTACCCAGAACGAGATCCGTTTGAGGAGGACGAAATATGAACGTGAGCTGGAACTTGGAAGCATTGCTTTTTCCATGTAGGCCTCAAGTTAAACACTATGTTTTCTTTCCTTTTCTTTTTCTTGAGCGGCTAAACATTGCTGTTGGAAATCACCTTTCTGACGTTTCTGGGTAGCTCGTGTGAGGATTTTTTATTTTTTATTTTTTTAAGCTCCATAGCTATGCACATGTAGTTTGAAGATACTTCCTTCACTCACCTACTCATATAAGTAAAGATAACTCTTACAAGGTTCAAGCAAGTTATTTTTTTAAATTATATTTGTGATTATTTTCTTAAAACACCCTTGTTAGTAATGGTTCTTATTTATTGCAATTATTCTTATAACTACATATTTCTAAATTTAAATTGGAAGTTCTATTGAAAACATATGTTGAACTTGAAATTGGATGGCTTTTACTAATAATCAAAATCAAGAAATTTTGTAGTTTTTGCTTAAGCCACAAGCCGGTATGAGTGTCTATTGTATATAACTTTCCTCCGCTATCATTTGTTCTGCGCAGCCTTTGGACTAGCTCCACTTCACTTGTTCTGCCTTTCAATGTAAGTTTCCAGGCGCATGCACTTCCCAAGTTAAATTCTTTAGAAGTGAAACCAGGAAGAGTTTAGTAGTTTCATGGGAATAGAAATAAATTCAAAACCTCAATGTTTTAGTCCAACAGTCCCCATAGCGCGATGATTACAAAGGCTTTACGCTTTAGTTATACAACTGCATCCTAGCATTTCAAGGGGAACGACGAGGAACAGATGAGACCGTTCAGCACTTATGTACAACCTCGTAATAATAGGGCTCCACATTACGTCCAATTTATATTCATATTCAAGACCTCGACAAAAAGTCAAACATATAGCGTCTCCATTAGAAGCTGCTTAGCATATCTTCCTCCTTATGGGCACTTTAAAATTGACACTCGCTTCAATATAGGCAAAATAAACGCCGAAGAATAATGTCCATTCGCTTACTAGTCTTCCGCCTCATCCAAAATAACCTTCCTGCATAATCACGCAAATTATGTCACATCCATTGAAGCACGCGATAAATGATATGGAGAAACAGAGTTACTTCAGTTGCCTTGATTCTTATTGGTTCTTCAATATTTTTCAATTACATGTAGAGTTACCAATCTGAATTACTACGTCATATCTGCAATTTTTGAGTGGACATTTAGCTTCTAATAATCAACATCATTAGGTATTATTTTCATATCGTAAAGAATGAATGTTGGGCAAAAATTTGAATAAGCATCAGAAATAACATGTTAATAAGTAGATGGGATTACTGACTTCCAAATAAATCGAGCCTGCCATTCTCTAACCACGTCTGACACCATTCTATTGAATTTATTGAGTAACCAGTAAGCAGAAAAAAGAACACATTATCACACTGCCATTTTTAAAAGCTATGGTCATGAACTTATCGTTAGACGTGACCATTTTAATTCATGTACAACTTTAAAAACACAGATGGATAAGTAAAATCAGAAATTAGCACTCCAACGCAATAGGAAACAGAAGGTGCATCATCTTGCAAACCATACCTTCTTGCCCGAATAGTCCGTTTTCCAGTGTTATCACCCTTTCCCTCCTTCATGGTGCTTTTCTTAGTTCTGGACATGGTTCCTCCTATGATAATTAGTTTGTCAGTCAAAAAAATAAAAAAGAAAAAGTTGCACGGTTCACATGTCAAGAATGATGTAACTCATCTCATGTTTGTTGCAAATGCACAGTTCACTGTAGTTATGGGAACAGCCAGGCTGAAAAATTTTCGGTGTTAAACAGTAAAATACCTCTCTTATTGGCCATGGGAGATTGAACTTCAATATCCCCTCCATCCGACTCTGTCAACTCACTTGAAATAGCAGAATGTTCTTCTGAATCAACGTGTTGCTTTTCAATTTATCATTCTTAGACAAAGCTATCCTTTTATTGCATGGATCGATAACTTCACCACCTGCTTCCTCTGCTTAATACTCAAGGTTTTTCAGCAACAAAAATACAAGTTGGCCGGCTAAAAACAGCAGAAGCTAATTTAAAGCAACAAGCTATACGAAACTCGTACAATTTTTAAATACTTCACATCCAATAAATTCATACTGATTATGGAAAATACTTTCCTAAAAATTTTAATAATGCTGTAGCATATTAGTGCTTATGTGCTCATCATCGTTACCAACATGTCTCTTTAGATAAGTGCACATATATAATTGCATTTGTAATGCCAACAACTTCCAAAAGGCATCGTTTTGCAAAAGATTGATCGCGCGAGATCGAAGAGCACATGCTCACACGTGAAAGGTTATTTAACATATATTCAAATAACATTTTCTTTTTCGATTAGAATCAGGAAATCACAACATATTGATAAAATTCTTGTGGTGGATCCTTCCTCTCTTGATTTCACCTAAATTTAGTTTAAGGTGATAAACATCTTGTCTTATTCTAAACAATCCTTCAAGCTAAAGCTACATAATGGAAGACAACTAAAACGCAAGAAGAATGAAAACTTAGTTTGGAAATTGGGGCTGCAAATGACTTAATGGGTGGTCAGTCATTCGACTCAGTTATAGATATATCTGAAAATGTAGGGACATTAGGAGGATGATAATGAACTTTCAAAAGTTAGTGGAATTAACCTGTAGTAACATTAGATTCTGCATGGTCTTCAGCATCTATGGCTGCGGTATAGCCTTCCCGGCTGCCAATCTTCTGTTGATGAATGTGAGCGTTTCTAGCAGTTACTTCTTGTTCCTTTATTTCCATGTGGAACTTTTGTAGTTTATCCTCGAACTCCTCGATGCACGATTTAAGCTCTGGTTTTGCAAATTTCTTGCCCTGATTTCAATTTATAATACACAGAGAGCAACCTCAGCCATTATAAAAGAATAAACGCGAGGGAAGCGAAACATCATTATCCTTTATGTAGGAGACCAAATTATTACCTTGCTTATTATGTTCCTAAAATGGTCCATAACAGAATCCTCTGACAAGGCATGTTCATACATCTTAAATAGCTCAATGAGTTTTTTCATCCCTCTTTCAGTAAATGCCAGCTGAGAGAGGCAATAAGAAAGATGTTCTAATTGTCTGACATCTGCAAATATAAAAAGCTACATTTAATCAGAATTAGTAAACAAGAAATTAACATCTATTTCTTACTAATTTAAAGATAAGATCAATGCATAACAAGGAAAACTTAGAGGGACGGCATATGTTTTAGCTTTGAACCAGGTTAAACAGCAGTTGACCAGAAAGCGAATCAAGAAAAATATTATTACAGTGGCAATGATTGTTTATTACATCACAGAAAAGGAAAAGAGCCAAATAGAAAACGGCTTTAATCCATATTATTATTCAACAAATAAACAGGATTGAAACTTGAAGATAGTCGATGAAGTCATTTCAAACAGAAATTCATATAAAACCAGTGACTTCGGTTCTTCATTATCATAATTGTAATACTGAAGAAAAACTTCCCCCATAAGCCAATTTCAGAAATCATACAGGTAGAGACATTATCAGGCCTTAACCAACACTCGCTACTTCGCTCACTAAATATAAACGGGGAGTGTTAAGATATTCTCAAAGAAATAAAAATACCTGTAACACCACTGAACCTATTGCATAGCTTTTCCACAAGAGCTTCCATTTGTTTGTCCTGAAACGATTCAAGAGAACTCGTGAATATTATAACCAGAAGCATCGATCAGAATTACTGAACATTTAAAATATCATATACCTTCTTGATCGAAGCAATTAAAAATTGCATAATATTGCAGAAAGAATCCTCAGTAAGATTCTGATTGGATAGTTTGCTGAGTATATCTGGAAGTAAATTATAAACTGGATTGCTTCCTGATGCCATGAAGAGAAGAGATAAATTAGGTGCCATTCTCCTATAGAAGGGAACATTAGGAGAAAATCATAGGATGGCAGTAGTATAACTTTTTTTCTCAAAAGGACAACTCTTCTGGATATAAAAATGCATATATATACTGCCTATTTGACATTCTAAACAAATATTTATTAAATTTGGATATCTTCATCCAAAGGTCAATGTGACTGCGAACAAGGCAGGGTACTAATACATTATTGTAACATATAATTTGCATTTATATATATGTATAACGAATTATTAAAGTAGAAGAGAAAAACCTTTCTTGGAAAGTTCATGGAAAAATAGCTTAGCAAGACTTGAAATTCTCTTGTCTTCATCCTCTAATCTTAAAGCCATTTCGTTGATGTAACCTTTTACCTGATCAAGCAATGATACATCAGATTCACTTTAACAGCAAAAATTGAAAAAGGCAACAAAGTTACAGCAACATCTACCTTCATCATGTCATTCAGTATGAGATGTGAAAGCACCAGAACAGCATTCTTCCTTACAGAAATGCAAGGATCTCTGAGGCGGGCATACATGTTCTCTGTCCATGGTTCTAAAAGATTGGGAAACCGAACTGCTAAGTCACCCAGTGCAATGGTACAATTAGAACGAACAGTTTCTGAATTTGCACCTTCGACAACGGTGAATAGGAGCTGGAGATTTGCATCACTGAAAACGAATCACTAAGAAAACTATTTCATCCTCCACAAGACATCAATAAATAGGAAAGTGGATGTGGGGGGAACGTAGCGAAGAACTCACCAAAACTCTGCATCAATAATCATGAATCGACATAAAGCTAGCATTGCTGACGCCTGCAATTCTGGGTACTGAATGCATAGAAGTTACACTAGTGAGTAGGACAGTTAATTGTTCCTTTCGGAGTAACATGATTTTAAAAAATATAGCTGCATTATTATATTCTGGTTTTTGAAAATTTAAGAAACTTCTCATCACTTCTGCAATAATATATTACATATTTATGTTTGTTAAGTTTGCTTGTCTCCATGTCTAGGCGTGTTCATTTGATTGTGATCCAAAATGCTACAAATTTTTTGGTAGCAAAATGCATTTGTTGTATTTTACATGATATCTTCCGCGTGGTGCTGTAGAACATGGGAAACCGAGAAGGGCTTGAAAATATTAAGGCAATCACCTTCTGCATCAGTCCAAAATTTCTACAAAGCTTGGACAAAAAAGTCGCACAAATTCCAATCAAATTCTTTTCGCTTGAACAACCAGAAACGATTTCCTTCTCTGCTTTTTCAAACAAAGCATCAAGTAATGCGTCCTCAGAAGCGGCCAAACCTAACTCTTCATTTATGTTATTATCCTGCAACGCATTTGCAGGCAA